ATCTTATAGAACGGTGGAATGGGCTCGAGGGGCTGATGTTTCTATGGTGGAATAGACTGGGTGAGCCCAATGGTCTGCTTCTGTTACTATCCCATCATAGAAAAGTAAGTAGGTTTTAGCTCATCCAAGTTAATTTGGAGGGTGAAGTGGAAACAGCTTGAAGTGTGCCCTGCAGAGGTTTAAAATATTTCCAGCCTAAATAATTAAGAATTTCTGTAAATTTTATGAATTTCAACCGCCTGAAGCATGTACATTGATCCGTAAAATTTGAAACTCAGAATTAAAAGGTTGAGGAATCTTTCCCTCCCCATATTTACTTTATTTGTACTCCCCTCTTTATTTCGTCTGTCTGTCTCATTCTAATTTCTCAATTGCCTATCTTTCTGTTTACTGTCTGTCTCTCTGTGCCAACACTTCTCTATTTGACTGTCCCCATCTCTTTTTCTGGACCTTTCTGCCGCTCTCTGTTCTTCTATCTCTTTGGTCCATCTCTCTGTTGTGCCTCTGACGATTAGTTTCACTATCCTTCTGCTTTTGCCTCTCGTTCTGGCTGTGCTTCTCTTCCTTTTGTCTATCTGTCATAATATTACTCCAACTTTCTGCTTGTCTCTATCTTGCTTCCATTTCTCTAGAAACATGTAGTGTTTATATGCACACATTTTAAAACATGTTTTACTTTTGATGCATTTTACTTAAAAGCCCCACATTTTTGGGGGAATTAAAGACAACATTATCTTGACTTAAAGAGAATTCAATACTGTATTAATCTGGACCAGTCACAGAGCATGCACCATTTTCCTTAAAACCTCAATCTGACACACAGCCTCAAGTCACATTGACTTGCTGGGTACTTGATTTTGTTTCTATAGATGGTGCGTGCATGAAGCAAGGGAGTTTGCCCTTAAAATATTATGCTGATTGTCATTCATAAAAAGTAGTTTTATGATTGCGCCAGATCTTAGCCTAAAAAACCCTACTATCTTAAAAGATAAATTGACAATACAATTTACATTTATATAGCACTTTTGACATTGGGGAGCTGAGTCTGGAACAGTATGCAAAATGGAATTGGAGGTACTTGAGGAACAATACTATTAAAGGATACAGGGAATGGCAGGAAAATGAGTTTTGAGCCGTTAGCTCCCATGAAGGGAGCTTGTCCCAATACAGACACAATATGCCAACTTCACAAGATCAGTTTGGTTGAAGAAGGCCCTTCAGCCGATCTGATCTCATCTATACAGAACACTCATCCTACTATGCCCCCATCATAGTTTCAAGTTGTTTTTAAATGACTCCAGTGTGCTGGCTGTAACCACCATTCCTGGTACCTGTTCCAGTCATGAATCATGAAGCTCTGGTGGATTGTTACCTTTCTATCTCCAGTATCTTCTGTTAATGCATGCGTCAAATTCTGCAGTATATCTCTTTGAAAACTTGAAAATGCACAAATGTATCCATATATTTCAGTCGAACTTTATTATACAGTATAAATAACTTACATACGTATACTTAAGAAAGGATATATTTAAAACAAGGAAAAGGTGCTTTTTATATTGAATGCTTTCTCTAAGAATTGAATACATACAGTATAGTAATGACATGAAGACACATCTTTCCTGGTGATCTCTTGCTCCTAACACAATAACAAACACAGTGTCATTGAGTGACATGATGTGTAGGCAATAGCTGCAGATTTATTTAATGGCACAAACAGATTTTGGGTCAGAAAACCAGAAACACACAATGATCTATTTAAATTCTCAACCATCAAAACGTGGATATCTGCATTTTTTACNAAAAAATTGCAGAAATTTTAAATTAGCTGAATTATATTAGGTTTTACTGGGAGGCAGTAACGTAATATAAAACACTTCTGGAATACTAGCAAAGGATGATCTTGTGGCAGTTAAAGGGATTTGTCTGGCAGAGCGGAGTTTAAAAGAAAAGGAAGATACCGTTTCAGATTGAAATAGATTTATTTTGTTTAGTTGGTTGTACTGAACTACACCCCAACTGGACAGAACAGAATATGTGTATACAGAGGTGATAGGGGAAAAAAAGAGTCCCAGAGATTGAAGCTCATGTCAAAAACAAATAAAGCTGTATCTATAAGGCAGCAGAAACTATACTATAATAACACATTGTCTGGATTAAGACTGTTTTTACAAAGCACGACTGTGTTTCAGTGCCTCGAGTTTACAAATCAAACCCTTGCATTTAATGGGAACGGCAAGAGGAACATTTTAGGTTTAGCAATTGGTAATCGGCTGGCATCATGTGCCATTAAATTGGCGTCAATGCTTTCTGACAAACCACGATTCCCACTGCAGTTATTTAAAATAGCTCATCCACTGCAGGCTTTATACCAGAGCTTGTATAAGAGCTAAACTGTGATTCCAACTCAATGTTGAGAAGGAGCTGCATTATTCAAGTACTTTCATTACAATAAGAGCTGTCAGTTACATCAGCAAATGGGCAGCATGGCAGGCAGTTGCTGTGCCAGTTATTAATGGAAATAATTGGTATAGAAACCAAATTAGGGGTGCTTTTATATAAGTAGCTATTGCTGCAGAGCAAAGTTACTGCCTGGACAATTACAATCTAGTTATTCTGCTTTCTTACAGTAAGAAAAAAAACTTAAAACAACAGCCTAAAGAAAACGACTATCTGTGTTAATGAAATGGTTGGCTGATATGTACCTTTCATACAGATCTACATATGTCATATGTAAGTCATTCCCTTCCATCAGAGCTATCATGTTCATTTGGTTTGTGATGTGCAATGTTTTATACGTTTTTCACCCTTAAAAAATGTTGTGTTGAGAAATGAAACACTTTGCAATTTCAGGCACCCATGTTAGCATGAAGCACTCCTAGATCAATTAATAGTTAAACCTAGACTAGAGCTCCCTCTGCTCCACCTTGAAGACATATACCTCAATCTCCAATTCGGAAGAGAATCTCATACTACTACAAAGTGATATTTATTTCCCAAAACCAGCCATCTTGTGACTTATCTGAGTGAGATTGCCAGTTTAGCATTGTGCTGAAACTGCACAAACACCTTTCACACAGGACTTTTGTAGCCAACAAACAGAAGACCATATTCCCAATGGTCTGTGCTGGATTCAAACACTGCAGTTCTTAGATGAGGTTAGACAAGTCAGGCTAATGTGCAAATCCAGCTCACTGCTCATTGCATATTATTGGAAATTGTAATGTGTATTTTATAGCACTGGCTCAGTATTAAATAGCAAATTAAATCATTGCACAGTAACTTTTCTTTGAATTTTTCAAGCAAACTGACCCAAATAAATGGCAGCTCTCATTTTTTTTGAGTACTTTTGTCTTTTTTGTGTCCCAATCTTTTCTTAAAGCCATGGTATATTTTAAATGTGTAGCTTAATACATATGTGTATATAAAAAAAAGCAAATTGTCAACTCTTGAAATCTTCTTCCCACATGTTCCTTATTAGTTACATTATTTCTTTAAGAACAGCCCAACATGGTCATTGACTGAAGGATTCAGCTTCCTAACCAGCCTCCGAGGATGAACTTACTGGAAGGTGGGTTTTAACTCCAGGAGATTGATGGGAGAGATTTTTCCAACAAGAAAAAGGCTAACTCTCAGTTTGAAGGAAACGCAGTGCAATCAGAAATGATCCACATTATCTGCTCAATACAGAAAAAAAGTGCTTTATGTTGTATTAAAAAAAGGTGGAAGAAAAGCAAAAAGTGCTGAAAAGCTGTAATAAATAGACATATATAAAATAAAATCTGAGGAGGGTTCAAGGGGATACGAAGACTGAGTGTGAATCTGTTATCTGGAAATCCTCAATGTACAGTATGCCGTGGACAACTGGGATATGCGAAGAAATGAAAGGATCCAGTCAGACTCCTGGAGACGGACTCTGATACTCAAGCTTTGACACGAACCACACTTCGATTATGACACATTTTCCATCGACTTAACAGGAAAATAAATGTTGTCATTGCATGTTTGTTTTAAAAAAAAGATTTTGTATTTCCTTTTTGCTCGAAAACATTTCATTGATTTTGGCCTGGGTTCTCAGCTCTCCTATACAATACTGTTCCGTGTCCACTTGTAAAGAAAGGCAAGCAACTCTGAGGCTTATTTTGTGCGTTTTGTATCAGATTGGTCAAATAAGATTGGGCACTCACTTCATAGCTGTTTTCAGGACATTGCTGTGCACCAATTGGCTGCTGCATTCACCCACAAAATACAGTCACTGCAATTTAGTGTATCCTGTCAAGTGCTTTGGGATGTCATCCTGACTTGAAAGGCACTGTACCAAATGTAAGGATTATTATTGTTATTGTTATTAGTCTCCCCAGGTTTTGCCACCTAGAATACAAGCTTTTATCTGACAGCACAGCTTGCCCTCTGTGGACCTCTACGTGCCAACCTATGTACTAGCATTCTTCAGCTGGTAGATTGATACTGAGGTGCTTCACCTCCCCAAAATATTTTCTCTTTCTTTACTTGCCAGGGTTCTCCCCACATCATTCCCCGACGGCACCGATCCTTCTCTAGGATACAATTCCGTGGGAGCCTGGTGGCCATCGTTTATTCGTGAGCCAAGACAGTGACTCGATCACAAGAGAGGTTCCAAAGAAATGCCGTTTAGCCCATCTGAAGATGAACAGGCTGCTTGGCCATGTGGAGCACAGTGGAGACCTGTAGCTCAGTGATTAGAGCACTCACTTTGCAAGCGAGAGACCTGAGTACAATTCCAGGCAGAGGGCGAAACCTTGGGCAAGTTTTCTTACTCCACACGCCTAATAATAATCCCTCCAAAACCAAAAACAATAATAAATCGGTCATTTTCAATCTACGACTGTTTGTGGGACATTGCTGTGCGCAATTGGCTGCTGCGTTCGCCCACAAACATACAGTCAATTCACTTTACAGTGTGTTCTGTGAAGCGCTTTGGAACGTCCTCCCGACGTGAAAAGCGCTATCTCAAATGCAAGGATTATTATTATTATTATTAGCTGAGCCTGATGCTGTTCTCACTCCACATCCACACATATGGACTTTCCACCAAGAGACACTGAATAGCGATAAGGAGCACAAAACCTGCTGATTTATTACTCTACAGACGGCAACTGTAGCTCTCCTATCGGCTCAGATCAACTAACTCAGACCAGGATTTGAACCTGGGATCTTCTGGTGTATGTGGTCTAGTCTTACACCAGGCAGTGCCTTACTCCACACTGAGGCATCAGATAAGCTCTAGGCTTCTCATTCATTCAAACATACCCAAAATTATGGATGCTATTAGACAGGGTCAGGTTGATGGGTATCAATGGCCCACAATGACAAAGTATTTACATCTGTCTGCTACAATATCATTCCCTTTGCTGCTTGGGTACATTAATAATATCAGAACAGAAGGTACCAATACATTTCTTTGCATATCCCTTTAGCAGCCTTTATTTTTAACACACAAATATTTTTAAATCACTTATTCTTTCTTAACCAAAACTGATGTAAATACATTTTCTTAAAAAAAAACCACAGACAAGCAGATTACAAGAGTTTACATTATACAAGACCTGCAAGTACAAAAACAACACAATCTCTTCATAAAGCATATTTGATAAAAATCAAATTTGACAATATGTCAAAAATGTATACGCACCTTTTACAGCTACTTAGACTGGGCGTTAATAACTATGTCTTAATAATGTTATCTTACAAGATGGCTTGAACTGAACCAGAGTTCAACTATCTGAAATAATACGTGAGGCTGTTTCACAGATTGTTTTTTTTACACATAAGATTCTTCAGAGAAAAACACTTGTTCAAAGTCTTCAAATTTCCGATTATTGCAATGCTTCTTCTGCCATTCCTTCTTGCTGTGGATCACAGCTTCAGTCACTTCCTGCGTTTTCAACAAGCAGTTTTCAACATCAGTCTGAAGGAAATATTCCTTCACTGCTCTGGCCGCGTTGGAGGAAAGAGTGACAGGGCACCTGCTCTTCAGCTCCTGGTTAGTCATGTGCGGCCCATTCCTGCGATCGCTCGCAGGTGATAGCTGCTTCTCTTGATAGATTTTGATAGACCTTTCATGTGGGCTCGTAGCAGCTGCAGGCTCACAAATGTTCTCCTGACTTTCACTCTGAAAACCCCTCTGCACAGCACTGACTGACTCAGAGCAACGCCGAACCCCTGCTCTCCGGACAAACCCCTCGCCCAAGGTGAATGAACGAGACTGCGGTCGTGAAACCGCCTGAAGACATAACGATGAGTTCTGTCCATAGAAGACGGTCTGAGGAATCTGATCGAGTATAGTCTGTGGTGGAGGCATCTCACTGCCTGTGCTGTGAGTGGGAGATCTGCAAGGTTTGGAGACTCCCAGGTGTTGCTGCGAATGCGGTGAATCAATGTGATCCCACTGACGAGAAGGGACAGTCGAAGCCTTCTCCTTTGATACTGTATTGAGTAGTGGTGACCGAATTGCCTCCTGGTATGAAGGTGGTCTACTGGGGGGACTCCTGTTTGCGCTCTGAACTGTACCTCGTGCCATCGGGTTGCTACTGGCCACGTCTTTCTGTTCTTCAAAGAATGTATGACACGACCCACTTCCAGGTGACGCAACAGACAGCTCCACCTGCGAATCAGCAGTGGAAGCCTTCAGAGAGGTTCCACGTTTATCTTCCTGCTTACTTCCTTTCTCCTTCCTCCTGAGGGTCCAGGTCCCACTTTTCTTCAGCCAACTGTTTGGGTGAAGGGTGACGGGGTTCCTCTCCGCGATGCATTTGGAGCTCTCCTCCTTTGCACCGCAGGTTTTCTTGTGTTTCTCTAACGAAGTAGCGCCAGAGGCTGGCCCGGGAGACAGGAGGCCGGAGAAATGCTTAAAGAGACTGGAAGTGGTGGGTGTAGATGGCTGGCTTTTCTGAGCCTGGATCACAGAGCAGGATGGAGCAAAGGTTTCACTTGGGGTAAAAACAGAGCATTCGGAGTTGTGAGAAAAAGCACTGTCCAGTGAACTCATTGAAGAGCCCGAGGGTGAGGAACCAGGAGAGGACAAACTTGAGCAACTTGCTGTTGAGGGGATATTGAGTTTGAGGGGTGGCGGTGGTTGAAGTCGGCTTCTGCTCTGTGATCCCTTTTGTGTCCTTTTGTGACTGTTATTGCTGGTCTTATCCAGATCTATGCCCATGTTCAGACTGCGATTTATCAACTTTTGTCCCTCGATTTGCAACATGCGCAGTTGAGTGATGTAGCTGTCGTCAGAGCGGGTCATAACAGCATCGCAGCTGGTCTTTCGGATCACGGACTCGTGATTCTGGCCAAGCTGAGCGAGAGCAGCAGGTGGTGCTATACTGGGCTCTGAGGAGCGTCTGTGCCTTCTAGGTACTGTCAGCCACTCCGATGTCGAGTAGCCCGAAGTGTTGGAGCTCAAAGGTTCGCTGTCGGAGAGCTCACAGCTCGGAGGTTTATGCTGCCCCCCTGAGGGAATTTCCCAGGCTGTGGTTATTAACGGGACCTTCTTCTGAACCCCTTCGTCCTCAGGCTGGTCCAGGTCGCAGTCACTCCAGGTCAGCACCGAGTCCCTGCTCCTGTTTTCCTGGCTCCTCTTGGTGATCAGGTCGGACAGAGGAGAATCTGTGTCATCGTTCAGTTCGTTTTCCAGGCTGTCATAAGACGAGTCGTGCATTTGAAATGAAGACACGTCTGCAATGAAGAAGCAGGAAGGCTATTTTAGCAACAAATTTGTTAACTGAGGATAAACTCTCACCGCAAAATAGAGGAAAATTAAACATGTAAACCATGTATTACTGGCATCATAGAATTACAATATGAAGATAAAAACAATGACTAAATGCTTGCTCCATCTTTGGTTTATCGTGCTTCCTCCCTCCTAAGGCGAGTTGTGGAGGGGGTTGTAAGCAGGTCAGAGAGGTGGGGAGCTGAGAGGGCATGTGGTGATTTGTACAAGTCTGAGGATCTTCTAATTGATCCATTCTGTAATAGAGAGCTAGTGGAGCCTGGAAAGGCCTGGTGTGACGGGCTGTGCAGTTTGATGTGAGTGAGGATATGGGAGGGCGGAGTATTGAATGAATTGGATTATGCGAATGGTGGAACTGGGGAGACCGGCAAGAAGGGCATTGGAATAATCGAGGTGGGAGGTGATGAATGCACGCATAAACATGAACAGATTCCACAGGTTTTCTAAGAAGCAGTCAGGGTCCAAACAAATAGGCATTGGAGATATTTGTAGCCTCTCCAATTGTTGTTCTGACAAAGAATGGTTAACTTAGCACAGATCGAGTCTATGACTTTTTGGTCTGGAGTAGTGCTACACAGTGATGAAGTTCATCATTATTATCTGTGTGTAGAAAGCAGGAAACAGGTTACATTTATTTACCTGAGCCATCTTCTGTGCTTTCACACTTTCTGGTTGGTAAGTCCCCAATGAGGCAAGTGAAGTCATTTCCAAAGATCCTGCGGCAGTTTTCAATTAGAAACTGCACAAAGACAGCAACCTGCAGAACAGGAGAGTTAAACACAGTTACCTCACTGCTTCTGTGAAATTTTGTTCCATTAATAGGACAAAAAACAACCTGTAGGCATTACAATGTGCATAACATATACACAGAAGATACACGTTTTCTGCCCTCCCAAAAAGTAGTAAGATAGCTCACAACCACAACAATATACCCCAATGAACACGCTAGTGTCTTTGACCTACACCTAAACTCTCTGGGATTAGGTAAGCAGGGTGTATTCAAGTGCTCCAGGATGCTACCCCGTGTGATGGGCGCTATATAAATGTTGTTATCGCTTCAGGAGAGGAGTGCGTACACTATACCCGATGAATGAAAACCAAACACATGTGAAACTCTTTTTGGGTTGGGTTTTCTTTAAGTGTAGTGATTGGTTTCTGCCTGTATCTGACACCACTGACCAAAAAAAAATGATAGCCCAGTCAATGTGGCTCTCTCCATCAAGTCACAGTGCATCTGAAAATCTGGCATTCACAGGAAACAGTGACTCCTGATGGTAACTGGAAGTATTTCACGTTTACTATGGGACCTGTGAATCTAACTACAAAATACACAGTCATTACACTTTACAACAAATCCTGTGAAGTATCTGAGACATTCTTACTACGTGAAAGCCGCTATATGAAATGCAAGGATTATTATTTACTATTTTTCGGGCTTGTATAAATGGAGCTCCTGTAGGGCGGGGTGTGTACATGTGTGTGACACACATCCACGTATCCACAGGAGTCACTATTTATGCATCCAGATTGCAAACACCACATTTTTGACGCAAATATGTGACGCAAGGCAAAAGGAAAGAAGCCAAATGCTCTCAACCTACCCTTTGCCCGTGAGCAAAGCTCAAAACAAACTAAAGATTTCTTGGAAAATATATTTTAGTTGGCGTGCTTTAACAAAAATGCTTTAAGTCCCAGAGCACTTTGGGAGCTAACCGCACAAACCCTGAATCTGCTTCTCCATGTTTAAACCTTTAGGAGACGTGAGGAGCTGAAATAGCGACATATGATACCACCGAAGTGAGGAAACATCCTCCCTTCAAATCCCTATCTCAAGATGAATTCAGAGTGAAGGAAGTCTCGTTACTTTCTTCGAGAATGCCTATCAAAATGCCACGAATGTGTGTAAATGTAATGATAGTGAAGTGATCATCCACTAATTTTACCTTGAGGGGACAGAGTGGAATATAGTTCCAGTCTTGTGTTGCCATCATCTCAAACACAAATGTATACACTCTGGCCCACAATATACACACAATCTCTACACTTTACAGTATATCCTGTGAAGCACTTTGAGACGTCTTGACGGCGTGATAAGGGTTATTATTTATTATTACACTGTCGTTTTATTGGCATATGGCTCGACTGCTGTGGCGGTTATTCCAGTTCACTTGGGTCTAAATTTCTATTTAAAAAAAGATTCCAACCTCCCAACCAAAAAACTCACCCCCTACGTTTCCAATTTTCTCCTCTCTCTTTCCCCCCTCCTAGGTCCCAAAGATGCCTGCCATTCGGCTCAACGTGGCTATTCCAGCTCTTTGAAAGAGCTATCCAACTAGTCCTACTCCCCCACTCTTACCCCATAGCCCTGCAAATTTTTCCTTTTTAAGTACATATCCAACTCCCTTTTGAAAGTTACTATCGAATTTGCTTCCACTATCCATTCCAGATCATAACAACTCCCTGAGTAAAAAAATTCTCCTTGTCTCCCCTCTGGTTCTTGTGCGAGTAACTGGGTCCTCTGGTTATCAACCCACCTGCCAGGGGAAACACTTTCTCCCTATTTACTCTTCTTTCCTTGTAGTTTTATAGATTTTCTTTTCTCTTCAAATAATTATCCTGTTCCCTTTTAAAAGTTAAGTTTGGTCTGTAGTTTGTAAAAGTGCGTTCTGATGTTTGCTTCTCTGACTGCTGTTGAAAGTATCTGCCTAGGCTTTCAAGAGCTCTGGGAAGTTACTCTGCATGAGAGCGCTATATAAATGTAAGTTGTTGTTGAAGTTCTCACCTTCTTCGTTGACTCGCTCTCAATCTCTGGGCTGCATGGTGTGGGAGGCCATAAGATACTGGGCGCGATGCAGACAGCCAGGTTAAATGCATTCATCTGGTTCTCCTCAGCCTGCTGCTCGATGCTGTGAAGAACTCCAAAAACATGATGTAGGAGCAAATTGTTGACTCTTGGAAGTAATTCCAGCAGCCTGGAGAAAATGAATCATCAAGCCACAGGTCAACCTTAACATCAGAATTTCTTTTTTTTAATCAATATCAATAGGCGGTCGGGCCAAGATCCTTTCTGACTCTAGTGTGGAACTCTATCCCAGAGTCCCATCGCCTCATCCCTTCCCTCACCTTCTTCAAGGTCTGTTTCAAGACCTTCATCTTTGATTGTGCCTTTGGTCATTTTCCCCCCACAGCCCCCAAACCATTGGTCCCCACCCCTCCCGAATCCAACCCCAGCTCAGGTGCAAGCACTTGACTATCCAGCACCTTGAGACGACCTCCTGACATGGAAGGTGCTATTATAAATGGAATTGTTGTTGTTTTGGACCATTTATCTGTGACAGAGCTTGAACGAACCTAAGAGAGGTGAGGTGACCATAGTCGCGGTCAAAGAGCAAGGTCTTCAGATGCAATCTGAAGACAGCCAAAGAGGGGCAAGGCGGAGGGATTGTGGTACTTACAATACCAAAATTCACATAACTTTTTAAAAAATCATGATGATTTTGTTTCCCCCGTCTTTCCTATTCCAGGGGCCCTGAGACCAATCGTAAGACTATCTAGTTAGATCAGCTAACTCAACACAGGCTGAGGATCAAACCTGGAACCTGGTATATCTGGCTCAGCTCCACGCTGGGGAGCAATCTCACCATCCAAGTTCTCTGAGGATTTGACATAAATCATCACAAGAGTTCTTGAACCTCAACCAACTATTTTGGTTCGAGGCAGAATGCTCCAGTGTACTGCTATTTAGCACCGCAGTTTGACAATTTAATATATCCCAGACATTAGCTTTTGGTTTCCCAGTGCAAATGTTAGATTGTATATCTTTTTCAGCTCTACTCTGGATTATACTATTAATATTTCTTATTACAATAACATGTTGCTGTAGAAAATAATAGATCAAATGTCAATTCTTAGAAAACGCCAAGAACCTCTGTCCTGGAAAACTGCCGTTGGTTTACTTCTTATCATTCTTAGACTAATATTTCTGGCATCACTGAGGCGTAACTAAAGTTTTCAGTGACATAATAGGGAAAGGTTGGCAATAAAATATTAATAATGAAGGAGCTGGAATGTGCCATTGTGGAGTAAGTAACCTTTGGTAAAAGATCCTGATAAGAATATAAATTACATCCAAGTCCTTGAAAATATTAACAGTTCGAAGCAGCACCTGTACAGATTATGATCCCCAAAATAATAATAATCCCTACATTTGATAAAGCACCTTACATTTCGGAAAGGTGCCCGAAAGCTCTTCACAGGATTCACTGAGTATTTTGGTAGGTGACATGGCAATCAGTTTGTGCACAGCATCGTCCCACAAACAGCCATGAACTGAATCACTATTTTTTTTTATTTGGGGGACTGTTGGCCAGGCCACTGGGAGAAACTCCCTTCTCTTTTTGAACTATGCCATGGGGTCTTTACCCCTGATCAGGCAGACCGGACCTCGGTTTAACGTCTCATCCAAAGGCACCTCCAACAATGTTGGGCTCCCCTCAGCATCGCACTGGAGTAATAGCCTAGTTATAGCAATTCAGTGTCTCAACGTGGGGACTGAACCCACAGCCTTCTGACCAACTGAGCTAGGATGAAAAAAAAATCCTATGAATATACTGTACATGAAGGATGTACACATCCTCCTGATGTGAAAGACACTGTACAAATATAGACTCTCCGCACACTTGCCGAAAGTTATGCCCTGCCAGGAATCAAACCCAGGTCTCTCGCTTGCGCTGCGAGTGCTCTAACCACTGAGCTACAGGGCTCCACAAATGCCATTTAAAAATTGGATTTGGAAGCATTTTCTTTCTATTGGATTTTTACTCTACTAAACAATTATTTTAACAAACCACTGGGGGATGCTTTCCATTATGGTGGGTAATCAAGATTACACTACAGATACTATATGTACCAGAGCTTGACTATCACTTAGATGGAACCATTTGCAGGATGTACCTGCATCCTTGTAGTTGACAATTCTCAGCTAATCATGCAGCGAGATATTGAGAGCAATAACACAATACATTACAATTTACATTTATATAGTCCGTTTTACATTGAGAGGAAGTCTCAAAGTGCTTAATGGAGGGGAAAGATAACTGAAAACCAGGTCAAAGAGGTGTGTTTTGTGATGTGCCTTCAAAGATGGGAGGGAGTGAGTCAGAGGGACTCCAGAATGGAGTTTCAGAGAGCGGAGCAGAAAGCCTGAGAGCCTGCTGTTGATGGTGGGGTGGGCAGGCCAGGGAAATAACATAACACTCAGTGGTGAAATGCTAATTTAATTCCATCACTGTGATAGTGCAAAGCGCTCACCACACTTTGTAAGATCTTCCACTGACCTTTGGATCTCCTTTATCTTCTCCTTGTGACTTCCCCTTTCCATCGCTGTCATCCAGCTGTTGTACAGCTCTGCAGAGAAAATACTGCCAGGAATATTCCGAAGGAAGTCCTTAATTTACAATAGATAAATAAATGTTTAGGAGAGTGTCAAATATTACAATGTTTTTTTTTAAATGTGTCAGATTTCCCTGGCTCCTCTCTACCTCTCCGACCTGCTTGCACTGCACGCTTCTACCTACTGCCTTCGCTCAGCCAGTTCTGGCTTTCTCTCGTTCCCTCTGTTCCACCATTGGTGGCCGTGCTTTCAGCGACTATGCACTGAGGCTCTGGACCTCTCTGCCTCAATCTCTCTGCCTTGCCTTCTCCTTGTCCGTCTGAACACCTTCCTCTTAATAATACTAATAATAATCCTTGCATTTGATATAGCGCTTTTCACGTCGGGAGGACGTCCCAAAGCGCTTCACAGAACACACTGTAAAGTGAATTGATTGTATATTTGTGGGCGAACGCGGCAGCCAATTTCGCACAGCAATGTCCCACAAACAGTCGTAGATTGAAAATGACCAATTTATTATTGTTTTTGGTTTTGGAGGGATTATTATTAGGCGTGTGGAGTAAGGAAACTTGCTCAAAGTTTCGCCCTGCCCTTCCTGGAATTAAACTCAGGTGTCTCACTTGCAAAGTGAGTGCTTCTTAGATTCTGCACCTCTTTGACCGTACCTACGGTCACCTCTCCTTTCTCTCTGGTTTGGCGTCAAGCTCCGCCACTGTTATGCGCTCCTAGACGCTACCCTGCATGAAGGGTGCTATATAAATGCACATTGTTGTTATATTTCACAAATAGAGCAACCTACACCATAGAACAACACTCTAGAAAAGGTTAACATCTCGAGAAGGGAAGGAAAAAAATTGTTGGAGGCAACATAAAAGATATTTTCCAGATATTTCTGTGGGTTATTTCTGTTTTATAAATAATATCATTGGTAGTTTTTCTTTAAAAAAGGGCCCTTTCATAATTTGCCCAAAGGATTGCTTCAGAAAGGATTGTAAAACGCTTTGTGAATTACCCAATATTTCTTAGGTTAAGTGGACTGACAGCTGGATTAGTTCTTTTTCCATTTCAGTACCTGAGCCACAGTCCACATTTCTGACCATTATGTATATCACATAATCAGCGCCTTGGGACGTCTCCCGACGTGAAAGGCACTTTACAAATGTAATTTTGTTGTTGTTGTCACAGACTCACAGGAAATCATTTCAATTAGAAGCTCAAAATGTTCTCTGATCCGTTGAAGGGAAAACTGTGAGTTTCCATATTCAGCGATTTATTGCAATAATTACGTAACTTGAAAGTATAAAAATGATGTCAATTTTATTTACTTTCTAAGATTCTGAAGCGTTTAAAATTGGTTCGTTCCACCAAATGAATCACACTGGGATTATTCATTTTCTAACAGACTCTTCCTTACAGGCACAGTGTGCTAATGGGAGGTGCTTATGATGGTCCTATGCCAAGAAATGCAGCCTTGTTTCACTGAACACAGTTGCTCTGTTACCAGAGTGAAATATCTTTCTTGACATCTATACTATTCAAACTGTAAGCACTGCTTTATTGTGGGATTAGAATTTTATTCTGCTTTCTTTGAGGTAATTGAACAGATTGCCAAGTGTGTTCAGCTGCTTCTTGATTCTGAAATGTAAAAATTATTCCTTTTTTTACATGGATACTTTTTCCCTTTCACTCCCACCCTCCACTCCCCTCATCCCCAGGTAGTTGGTCATTTTCATGTACATTTTCTTGATCTTGGGAAGGATATGGGTCTATGGGCTATTCAGACAATTAATCTATGTATCAGCCTGGTTAACTTGGTAGCACTCTCACCTATGAGATTGTGGGTTCAATACCCTTTGACCCCACTCTAGGCCAGAGGGCTCCAAGCAGTCGATCATCACTAGGTGTCTCTGTCAAGCACGATCAAAACGACAAGAAGAAGGAGCGATTGAACTGCGTGAATATTTAGTGCAATTGTAAGCGAAGCCAGATGCAGGAAGTATTTCATGCACACATGAAATACCGCTTCTTATTTTTAGCGCGTGTGTGCGAGACGCCACCTTGAGACTATCAACTGGTTGAAGACCCCTGGTCTAAACTGTCACTCCAAGCTGCATTGATAGATGTGCCGTCCTTCAGATGAGATATTAAACTGATGTCCTGTCTGCCTGTGGAAGTTAAAGTCAAGGAGACTACTCAAAAAGAGAAGGGAGTTTCTCCCAGTGTCCTCACTAATAATCCCCCAAATTAACATAAACTGGTCATTTACTTCATAGCTGTTCATGGGATATTACTGTGTGCAAACTAGCTGTCACTTTCACCTACAAAATGCACAGTCACTACAAGTTACAGCAAATCTTGTGAAGCCCTTTGAGACACTCTACCAAATGTAAGGAGTACGATTATTTTTCTGTAACTGCACCAACCCCATAGAAGGATGAATCAACAAGAACATTAAACAATAACTGTAATTGCAATCGGATGACAAAAGCAACAGGAATCATCCTTTCCCTTCGGAGACAGAACGTTCCTGAATTAGATCTTTCTCTCTGCAGTCCATGCAACAACTGATAACAGATTGGGAGGAAATCATCCAGGGCTCTCCTCATCACTATCCCATGAAACCTGCTGGAGTGCTGCGTGGGCTGGGCATGGAGCTCAGTTGTGATATCCCTCCTGTAGTCAACAGCCTGTTGACACTCACTGTCCAGGACCATGAAAAATGGGCTTGTGGACAAGGTATCAGGGAACAGGCAGCCGAGGTCTCAGCAGGACTCTATGCCTTCAGGAGAGAAAATTTGGTGGAAGAGACTTAATCCAAACCCTACCTTTTGGCTGTTTGTTGCTGTGAGCAAATTACTGTGTTTGCTCAGAAAACACATAGTCACTACACTTTGCAGGAGATCCTGTGAAGCGCTTTTGACGTCCTTGAAAGGCGCAATATCGAATGTAAGCATTATTATTAGTTTAAATATTAATATTTTTGGCATTTTTAAATTTCTATTAAAGTTATTTTCTGGGTTTTTTATGTTATTGCAAATATTAAAGAATTTGGGGATAGAGCTGGAAAGTGAAATTAATACAAAAGGAAGACTTTGAGAAAACAGGTAGCATTTGGTTACATCAGGACCTCCTTCTGTTGAAAATGTTTATGTTTCTATGTCATTTGCAAAATCATTGGTATAAAACTTTCTGAACACAATAATATTCAGGTAACAGTGTAAACAACAACCACAGAATTACATTTATATAGCCCCTTTCATGTCGGGAGGACGTCCCAAGGAGCTGGACAGTCAATGTTTCGGACGAGCAGGGGGTTGGAATCGGGGAGGATGGAGGGCATGGGGAGGGAAGGAGGGAGATCAAAAGCATGGTCGAAGAGGAGGGTCTTGAGACGGGTCTTAAGAGAAGTCCAGGGTTAATGCTGTGCAGAGGGTGGTTTGTGTCAATGAAAGACTTGAGGGATGGGTGGAAATGACTTCCGTGCACATTTTATCTCTGTGCTCCTGTCCTACCTTTGCCTTACTGAGCATGGAAGCTGCACCCTGACATCAGGAAACCTCAATAGCATTTCATTCCCAGTACTGATAAAATGAACAAGGCAGTTCATGCATATGTAAAACACAATGCAGCCAGACTCCATCAGCTAGAGTGCATTAAACCAGCACGACAAATGCCGCATTTAATCAGAAAAGGGCCTTGGGTGAGTTGTAAATTTAGATTAATAAGGTTTTGGAAGCCCAAAATTAATATGTTTAAACCTCTTAGGTAGCATGATGAGAAAAGCCATTTCCCTGCGGCAACAACGTCATCGACAATTTATATATATAAAATATATAATCTAATAATAATCCTTGCATTTGATATAGCGCTTTTCACGTCTTCTAGACGTTCCAAAGTGCTTCACAGAATAGACTGTAAAGTGAATTGACTGTATATTTGTGGGTGAAACGCGGCAGCCAATTGTGCACAGCAGCGCCCCACAAACAATTGTTGCTTGAGTGACCAAATTGTTATTGTTTTTTCTCTTGAGGGATTATTATCAGGCGTGTGGAATAAGGAAACTTGTCCAAGGTTTCGCCCTGACAGGAATCAAGCCCAGATCTCTCGCTTGCGAGGCGAGTGCGCTAACCACTGAGCTACAGAACTCCAGCTGTATTAGGACTTGCATTAATAAAGTGCCCTTCACTAAGGGTGATGTCTCTGAGTGCTTTACAAGGACACACCAAGCAAGGGAGAGAATGGAGGGGAGAAGGTGGCCATAAGTATTTCCCTTTCCTAAGCCCCTCTATTCCTTTGTCCCTCGTGCACACATCGAGTTTTCTCTTAAATACATGGAATAGGAGGCAGAACTGAAGTGGCCTCTATTAACGTACTTTAAAAACAGCAGCGGTGACAAACACGGATTCACTGGCTAAGTGCACTCCTGTGCCAGAATTCAGCTTCTCCTTCAGTTCTTTGCAGGCTTTAGCATTAGCCGAACGTCTGAAAATACCCCTGGTGAACGGACCTTCATGAAACAGAAAGGAAAGCATGTCCTGCAATATAAAAGGGTGGAGGAAGACGCCATGAATCTGATATGATGCACATTCAGCTGTACAAATGTAAACCTGCCTCCGAATCAGCCCTGTGGCACTGACACTTGTAACTATATTGTCACCAATAACAGAGGGTGATTAGAAGGCTACACATCAGAGAACAAGGTTAATAGACGTGTAAAATCGCACAGTGAGAGAATGAGTACAAATTAAGATTCCATCTCACTGCTATGCTACCAGAATTTTTTTCACAATGCACATGCAAGATTATTAAAAACGAACCGTACTTTTATTCCCATCCGCAAGGAAAACAAGGGGTGATTTTAAAGTTAAATCATAAAATATCCTCTTGTCCCCTCTCCTCCCCTCAGCATGCATTGCTAGTAAAAGTCTGTGGTTACAATGCCCTGGATTAATTTACGCTCCCTTGCTGCAGCCATTTTGTCACTCACCATTATTGGCTTCGGGAGATTGTCATCGTCACAGATGGCTAGCAGTGGCAGGCCAAAGAGCCTCCCCGGTGTTAGGGAGGTGGGAGACAGAGGCATGCTGTCTAACTGAGCAGTGGAACCACGCCAGAAGGCCCAGCTCATAATCGACCTTTTCCTTTTAAATTGCTTTTGACTCGGCTCTGCAGAAAGGAGGGGAAAAAACAGCATGAGGTAAGAGAGGCTTTCTGGAAAACTCATATGTGAAGCATATTCCAGCATTTGCATTTCACAGCTGCCATGGTTACCAAAAGAAATCGTATAAATATTAACATCTTGACTGGCCTTGTAGGGTGGCTGTGAGGAACTGTCTTGTGCTTGAGATGAAACATTTTTTCTTTTAGCAAAACAATTTTAGAATTTTTGCAAAGAGCTGGAAAAAGAAGTATTTAGTCCACGGTGACCTTGTGGTAATCAATTGTGTTTGTTATACTTTCTTTTAATTGAACAGCACATTGGAAAGACATAGTACAATGAAGTAACACAACATCCTGTCTTAATTTAACACAATTCCATATCTTTTATCAAATGTTCTCATCTCCTAACACAGTAATTCACCACACAACAAACTGAATGAAGGAAATGCATTGCTTGTATAATTCGGAACATACAGAATATTATAAACAGTGTTACAATGGGACTGCTACAAAATCAAACTATTAAAAGAATAAAAAAGCATTTGTATTTGTTTCTCCAGCATCTGTCTTTGGCCCGTCTACGCTCCAGTGTTGTTGAACTTGTGACGGTAAATCTGCTTTAATATGGAAGGCTGTGCTAGACATTGCACTGCTTAATATATGGCTTCAGTGCACTACTAGCATTATTGTGCCACCAGCATGTCACTTCAAAAGAGGCTAGAACTGTCTGAAGGATTTGTTCACATCCAGTTTGAGACTCTAATAATGATGATAATAATCCTAGCACATGATATAGTACCTTGTCAGGTTGTCGAGATGTCTCAATGCACTTCACAGGATATACTGTAAATTTTGTAGCTATAAAATTAGAATGTCTGAAAGATGGAACAAAAAAGCGATTCGGCCTTTCAATCCTATGCTTCCTACAAACCACACACAACATTATCTCATCACCAAACTTCACCCACTCACTGTCAGGAAAAAGGTTTGCATGGATATTACTTGACCTCCCAAAGGTAATCCCACAAGATCGCAGAAACCATTGTGGCTACATTTCCTTTATCAGGAGTAATACTGTATGATCAGCACAAGCCTAAAAGAGGTGCAGTTGTAATGGTGAACAGTATCAATCTCCTCCTCTTTCATAAAATTCAAAACTTGATGGACCAAATGGTCTGTTTCTGTGATGTAACCTTGTTAATAATAATAAAAAAACTTGCATTTGATACAGCAGCTTATCACATCAGGAGGACATCACTGAGATCAGGAGGTCATCTCAAAGTTCTCCACAGGATTTATTGTAAAGTGCAGTGAGTTTGTAGGAAAATGTGGCAGCCAATTTGCATTTAGCAATGTCTCACAAACAGCTATTGTTGGCCAGACACTGAGACCAACTCCCTTCTCTAGAATTGATAAAAGATTTTCAAGCATGACACTAAGAATCCACTGCCTAGTGCCTCCAGTCGACTGGCACCGGCCTCCTGCTCTTCCCTTGTACCCTCTGCCCCACCATCGGAGGTCGCACTTTCAGCCACTACGCCCTAGAACTCTGCAACACTCTCCCACAATCCCTCCGCCTTGCCCCCTATCTCCCCTTTTTCAAGTCCCACCTGGAAACTTTACTCTTCGGCCACCTCCCCCTCTCCCTGACTTGGAGTCAGGCTCCGTCACTATCGCTATCCTGCTTGGAGGGAGCTTTATAAGTGCAAGTTGTTGATGTAGTTGTCTTCCTAAGTGTGAACTCCACTTTAAACGCATCATTTTGAATAAAATATCCATTCATTATTTTCTCTTATTAATTAGATTCAAGCTCAGAATGAATAGTTAAACCAACTGAGGTTTAACAATTGGTTCTTTTCCCCTGCTGTTTATAGAATCCTGCTCTAAGCATAATATTGATCCAAGCAGAACATTTCTTGGCAAAGTAGCTGTGCAGCGTTTATTGGAGTTTAACAGTGTAAACAAGCCGTGGTATCCATGTCTGGGGGGAGAGCACAGAAGGCATATTAAAGAAAGAGATGGGATTTTCTCTTTTAGTCACTCAGTTCCAGCTCTGCCGTGTCTAATTCCATGCCATTAAATCAGTTTTGTCACCATGACAGGCCCTAATTATATCATAATTTCCAATTCGTGATACAAAAGCCAATTCCTGGTACTATTTGAAGTATCTCTGTTACACGTTGCTTGTGTTGTGATGAAGTATAATTCTTGAAGTCGTAATTCTATTTTATGCTTCACCTACCCTGGCCAGAATTAAAAATTCCAAATCAGATTAATTCATATTTAGGTCTAATAATCATCAAGACATCTCAAAGGGCTTCACAGAATATATTGTAAAGCGAATTGACTGTATATTTTGTGGGCGAAATGTATCCTTGGGGAAAAATTCCACCCGAGTCTAGATTTACTCTGTACCATTCTAAATCGTCCAACATAGCCTTAAATGTAGTATTAATTTTGAAGCCAATTTTCTGTCAGTTCTGTTAAGAACTACTGCGAATTGAAGGACTAAGACAAAATTCAACAATTGGCCAAACTCTTGACACGGGTGAGCAAATGGTCAGGTTTGAAGAGGTTTGTGTAGATTGCTACTATAATAGTTGTGAACCCCGCTTTAGAGTAGCTAAAAATAAGATACAGATTTAATCAAGTGGTTCCAGGATCAGAAAAAGGATCGATCTTGCTTAGCAGCAACCAAGACGGTGACGAGGAATTTTGCGAGCGAAACTGACCAAAGAATTGTGCGCATACTGGGAGGGGTTTGTTTCCAATCGATGGCCAGGCTGAGCAAATGGATGGAACAATGTGACATTTCATAACAAAATCAATGTGGATACATCATATCAATCATGTTCTGAAAGACCATGCTATGTACTGTCACACTTGTCACTTCAACAATTAAATGTCCGTCTTTATTCCCATTGCATATTACCGCTAGCACTCCGTACAATACAAATTTACATATATATAGCGGCTTTCACGTCAGGAGAAAGTCCAAAAGCCCTGGGATGCTGAGAGATTGCTGATGATTTTCAGCATTTGAAGTCTCTTTATATTAGAAATCCACTTGCCAGTATTATGCATCTCATGTTAGAGAAACAGAATCAGAAAGCCCTGAGTTCAAATGTATTCACGTCACAATATATTCAAGTTTGATACGCATCAAGCATTTCAACAGTTACAGTGAAAATGTGACCATACTGTAACCATTTTTTCTCTCTTTAAATCCTAGATGTTTATTTCAAGGCATTGTTGTGGGCAATACGGAAAAACAAGGAGGCAAAGATTTCTGAAGTTACAAGTGTTATTTTTTGATGTCTAAAAACAATTTCGAGAAAGGTCATTTCCCCTTTGGCAGCAAGTGTTTTCGTTTCTTGAGCTGAATTCTCGGTGAGTAATAAACTGGCAGGAATTTGAAAAGGAAGGTCTTATTTTCATAATTGTAGGTCTTAGAATAACTGTTTCCCTGAAATCCCAAGGGAAAAAAATCCATAAATTTTCCTTTGTTCCGGGGGAAGAGAAAAAAAAATCCCATACCTTTTCTCCCATTTTTCAAAAACAATCTACTGCCACATAACACTATTCAACATCTGTCATCCATCTGGAATTTGAAGCTCATTTTTCACTAAAGGATGATGCCAGGTTTAAATAATAAACCAATAACTCTTAAGTTTATTTGACGGACTTCAACATCTGTGAAAAATCCTTACCAGTAATCTGTTGGCTCGATGCCAAGTATGTTGGCTTCAGTGTGAACTGGCACTGCATATCCATGGGCAACTGCTCAATGATGAAGGACCCTTGGAGATCCAGAGGGAAGATGGAGTCTTTGCATCCTTGTGTCTGGGCAGCTGCTTCTCGAACATGACTCATTTTAATGCTAAACGGATATTCATGGCCTGTTGCAAAAAAACAAAGCAAATCTTCAGCTTCTAATTCTGTAACACCAAATCAATTTGTCCCGATGACATCCCTTAATTATTATATCATGAATTCCAATTATAATTAAATATTAGTAATGCAAAAACCAGTTCCTAATACCATTTGAAATATAGGTGTTATATATTGATGGTGTTGTGTGGAAGAATAATTGTTCAAGATGAAATGCCTCTTTAGTTTCTCCTATGCTGGGATTAATTGGATTAATTCAGATTTGGATTCTGGAAAAACTTCACCTGGGTCTAGATTTAATCTATTTATGTTGTATTTTTGATCATTCAGAATTATGTCAATTTTTTAAATGTAGCACTAATCTTGAAGCCAGTTTTCTGTAAGTTCTTTTAAGAACTACAGAAATCCGACTTCAAAGTTGAACAATTTGCCAAATTCTGGCCGCTCTAAAATGCTACATAAATAGAGTAAATCTCAACCCAGGTGAAATTTCATCCAGGTTTTTGTCACCAGATTCTTTAATAAGAACAATCATTCAACATGCTTGAAGTTGCATATGATGTTTTAGAAATTCAATAATTTCACATCTTTTTTAAGAAATATGTTAGAAATCCTGCATATTAGACCCATATATTTCTATAAACTGAACCTAACATAAAATCTACATCATGAAACTGGAGTCCACTCTGCAGTGAATGGATGTTTTTCCCCTATATTTACTATTATGTTCAAAGAAATGTTCACAGATCCAACAAACAACTTCAAAGGAGTAAACCAAACATACCAGAAAGAATTTCCTAGTGCCTGTAATTTTTGTGGCAATTTAGCACCAATCAGAAAAAATAAGAGTCTTGGCACTAATGTTCATTTAGCTGAGGTTAATGCTTGATATTGTATCCTGGCCAACAAAACTTGTCATTCACTTCATGGCTGTTAGTGGGACAATGCTGTGTATAAATTGACTGCCGCGTTCGCCTACAAATATAGTCACTCCATTTTGCAATAAACCCTGTGAAGCATTTTGAAACATTTCAAAAATATGATAAGGCACTATATCAAATGCAAGGTTTATTATATAGTATTTTACATAGAATTGCATAAAATTACATAAGGCACAAAACCAGGCATTTTAGCCTAACTGGTGGTTATACTCCACACGAGCCTCTATCCCTCATGTTTCTCCTCTCCTGTACCCCTCTATTCCTCATGTCTGTATCAAGTTTCCTCTTAAGTACATGGCTGATTCAACCACAGCTTTCAGCAGTGAGTTCTACATTCTCACAACCGTCTGCATGAAGAGTTCTGATGTTGATTTTACTCAGTTGGAAACACTCGGTGCTGGTGGATTTAATTATTTAATTATTCTACAATAGACTGTCAATAGACACTGTGGGAGAATTTGTATTTTGCAATATTATTCATCGTCTGCAAGATAGATCCATGAAGGTGAGAACCCAAGATCCAAAAGGACAAAGGACATCATGTATAAAAATAATCTTACAGCAACACAATACAATTTGCCCACAAATACACAGTCATTCCTCTTCATGGTAAATCCCGTGAAGTGCTTTGGGACATCCTCCGGTCAAAGACGCTATACCAAATGAAATAATTATTACATTTATCTAGTGTCTTTCACATCAGGAGGATGTTTCAAAGTGCTTGACAAAGCTGATGGGGCCATGAGCTGGGGGTTGGAGCCAAAGGAGAGGGGGGAAGAAGAATGAAAGCACGGTCAAAGAGATACATTTTGAGACAGGTTTTGAACGAGGGGAGAGAGCAAGTCAGAGTAGAGGTTAACAGGCCACATCATAGAATAGAGGAGCCAATTCACTACACAGGCAGCAACACCTTAAAATCAAAACCAAGATAGTTAAAACTGAGGTCAGGAAACATTTCTTCAAACTGAAACTCTGTTTCAGAAAGCTGTAAATGCAAAATCAATTGGGAGGTTTAAGAACGAAATAAAAGATAGCTGGGTGGTAGAGATACAAAGGAGTATGGCAAAGGGCAGGACATTGAGAATAAATGTTTTGCTAAGATGTAATAAACTAGTAGAACTGTATGTGATAGTCTGAATGACGTGAAAAGCACTATATCAAATGCAAGGATTATTATTATTATTATCCTCTTTTTCTTCTTTTTGTGGTGTGTGTTCCTCTATTCCAGATGTGGAATTGGAGAGTAGAACTGGTATTGAGTGGGTTCAAAAAAACACTGAACTTCAAAGCAATAAAAATAAACTGTTTAGTGGAATCAGTTTATTAATAATTCAGGTAATAGAGTCACAGTGTAAACCCCAGCCTCGCTCCTGTGCAAATTCTGCTCCCAGCTGAAAAATATTTGTTTGCATTGGAGGTGGAGAGCGAGGTGGGTGTGGGAAGTCTATAGAAACTCTTAAGTGCACCCTGTTTGTTTTCTAAGTCTTCACATTTCAAAATAAATGATAAGGAATAAAGTATTTCTGTACAAAGCATTGGACTTGTGTACATTTGCCACCGAGTAAGTCAGAACCAGTTTAAATGCTCAGTGACTAGGATAGTTCACACACTGCAAATTATGTTACTCGCACTATATGTGATATCTTTGAAAAGTATGTGCATTCATTCTCTTTTCAGATCTCTCTTGTGAATAAATGCTGGACCCTGAGAGAAACCTGAAGATCCTTCACAGAGTAGCACTCTAGAAGTGAGCACATCAGCCTGGGGACATCACTGCAAAGCTGGCTGTTGATGATTGTCGAGGTTAATGGAAATGTTTCAGGGTGAAGAGTAACTGTCTTTTCACCAAGAGGTCAATGACAAAATAAAACCTGGGTCATTAACCAGGTCAGTTAACTCACTGTCCATCTTGAGCATCAGGCTTCACAGATGCATTTTGCATCAGTAGAAATGAGTTTCTTGGTATCCTTTTGTAGCTAAATGTTCTCTCCATGATCGTTGTAATTACACTATGCAGCTCTGTTAAGGCCACTGGTTCTCCTGTGCCTTAACTGTAGACATTTGTGTGTGCTTCAGAGTAACAATTCTCTGTTTTCCAAATTTGCTCCATGCGTTGTTGTCACGTAATGTTCAAAAGTATTTCTCTGCCAGAAAACATTCTTCTTGTGTTACATGTAAAGTTTATTTGATCACGAGTGTATACAATCTCTTTGAAGCATAGCATAGCTCCCTGACCACAATTCTCTGTGTTGGTCACAGACCAATCTATTGCCATGTCATTTATATAGGTCAATAAATCTGTATGATAATAATATAATAATCCTTGCATTTGATATAGCGCTTTTCACGTCTTTGAGACGTCCTAAAGCGTTTTACAGAATATACTGTAAAGTGAATTGACTGTATATTTTGTGGGCGAAAAGCGGCGGCCAATTGCACACAGCAGTGTCACACAAACAGTTGTGGATTAAAGTGACCAAATTTTTTGGGGGAGGGATTATTACCCTCAGAAAGCGATCCACAATCAACTAACAACCGGCTTCCTACTTACTGCTAGGTAACTAGAGGCACGTGGAGTAAAGATACTTGCCTAAGGTTTCACACTGCTCAGAAATCAAACTCAGGTCCTCTCGCTTGCGAGGTGAGCGCGGCAACCACTATGCTACAGGACTCCTAGACACACTCTTGCACATTAACACACATTTGTGCACATTTCTCATCTGAAGGACAGGTCCTCTGACAATGCAGTGTTCCCCCGGCATCAGCCAAGGCTGTGGCAGTTCAAAGTCCCGACATGGGGCTTGAATCCAGAACCTTCTGACTCAAAGGCAAGAATACTATCAACTAAGCCGGGCTCACACATATTTATGAATTTATCATTATTAATAAATGAAGGTCTCTATAGCATTCTGAAGGCGAGCATTGCCAATCTATTCATTACATGTTTAAAATGGGAAATTTCTTAGGTCAGAAAAAGAATGCTATTAGTAAATGGTACTTAATAGACAAACACAGAAGAAATGTACGCTCTGCCACATCAGATACGACAATAATAATCCTATATAACACACTTCAATGTTAATCTTGTGAAGAGAAATTGCCAAAGCTGGGAATGTATACACTGGATAAGAATTGATTTAAGAGGATAATGATTTTATTATTCGTTATTATTATCTAATAATAAACAACAACAAGCATTTTTATATCGTCTCTCACACAGGGTAGCATTTCAGAGCGATTGACAATGGTGGAGCATGACACCCAGCCAGGGGGAGGTGACAGTAGACACGGTCGAAGAGGAAGTTGGGGAAGGAAGGGGCAAGGCCGAGGGATAGAGGAAGAGTTTCTGGGCTAGTGGCTGAAAGCGCAGCCACCAATGGCCAAAGCCAGTTGAGCAGAGGCAGTGGGTTGTGGGGATAAATAGGTCGGAGAAGTAGGCGGATGCCAGGGCATGAAGGGATTTGAAAATGAGTGTGAGGATCTTGAAATCGATCTGATCGGCAAAAGGGAGCCAGTTGAGACTGGCTAGTGCTGGTGTGATGGGGTACGGAGTTTAGTGCAAATGACTATGCGGGTGGCGGAGTTTGGGATCGTGTGCTCGGTGGAGCTGGGGTTACGCACCGGTTTGGCAAGTGTGAGGGGTAGACCAGAGAGATTGAGGAGGTCAGGATGGAAGTCGTTGACGGGAGCCAATGAGTATGGCTTCCGTCTTGTCAACATTTAGTTGTAGGAAGTTTTCGCTTCTCCAGACTAGCCGAGAGAACATCGGCAGAGCTGGAGTTCAGGCTGAACTTCAGGCTAGATTATGTACCCAACCTGGCTCTAATATCCTCTTGAAAAATTACCCAAGAAGAAATGGTTTGAAACTCAAAAGGATAGGTTCATAAATTAGAACTCTGGTACAGTGAAATTACTACACAAAGCTGAGGTGATGAGGCAAACATTGACATAGTCTCCATCCAAAACAAGAACAATGATTGTGTCTCCCTTTGTTGTTATTGGAACTACATGAGCTGGGGGGAGGAGGTCCCAGCTTGCAGACGACAAGTTAAATTGAGGTCCCATCTGCCTGTTCAGGTGGATGTTAAAAGATCCTGTAATACGATTTAAAAAGAGACAGGAATTTCTCCCAGTATCTGAGCTGAGAATTCCTGAGAATTAAAACTAAACTGGTCGCTCACTTCATGGCTGATTATGAGCATTACTGTGTGCAAACTGGCTGCCACGTTCCCCTACAAAATATGTGGTTACTACGCTTTACAGTAAATCCTATGAATCGTTTTGAGACGTGAAAGGTGCTATATTAGCTGCAAGCACAGAATATTATTATTCCATCAACCAAAGGTTTCATTGCAGGAAATTGCTGGCTGTAACAAGGAGTATGTAGTCATAAAAGAGAGGGCCAAGCTCTTCAATTAAACAGTCATATTTCCAAAGATAGTTCCAAATCAATGTAAGACCAGTTCTTTTTCTTGAAGTAACTTGGCCTCATCTTTTATGGCTGCACACTTACTTTTACCTCAGTCAGCAATTTCTTACAAGGCAACCTTTGGTACATGATATCCCTGCACCTACAGGATATGTCCCAGGCATTCCTTCTGTAGATACACAGAGGCATCTTTCTTCTGAGCTTGCACTCTCACTTCCTCTTTGAAAACAGTTTCAGTTCTACATACTCTCAATCCCCTTCATTCGCACAACTTCTCAAAAAAAAACAAATACCTTGCGGATGCATCTTAGTATCAATTGGTATCATTTTGCCGCCCCAGAAATTCAATAGGCCCGTATCCAAAATGTCAGATGCCTCCTTGTAGCTAATAAAAATAATGCACATATTTTCTCACTCACTTATTTTAGAAAGTTGAAGTAATTTAAGCTAGGTGTAAATATCCCTTTGGCAGCACTGTAGCCTGGTCAGTTAAGAACATAAGAATTTGCTAGGTGTAACAAGACCCAGGTCCATCTAGTTCACCTTCCATCATCCTGGCAATTGGTTGACATGTCGTGCCCCAAGCTATATACTGTATCCCGAGATATTATTTTGTAGCAGAAATCTACGTAATTTATGCTTTGTTCAACAGGAGGTTTAGTGTGTCTTCTATCATTGTGTTGCTGCTGGCTAACTATCTGACCATACAATGTTTCGCACATCAACTTGGCACCTTTTTTTTTAGCTGGAAAAAACTGATTCAGTCCAAACAACTGGAAAATGTTCTGACGAAGGGTCGTGGACCCGAAACGTTGACTCACTTTCCTTTCTCCATAGATTCTGCCTGACCTGCTGAGTTTTCCCAGCTCTCTCTGTTTTTGTTTCAGATTCCAGCATCCACAGTATTTTGTGTTTTGAACTGGAAAATGTTCTTCATTAAAAAAGACGTGTGCATCCTAAATGGAGCATCTCTGAGCAAAATAGAGCTTGGCTCACTTGTTGATGTTATACACTAAGAATTTCACAATAACAAATTGCATTTACAAAGTGGCCTTCACACAGGATAGCATGTTGGAGGATGGCACATTGACAGAGTTAGATGCCAAACAAGGGAGAAAGGGAAAGAAGCAGGTGATCACAGAAGCTGTTGAAGAGGTAGGTCCTAAATTGGGGTTTAAAGATAAAGCTTTAAAGATTTAAAGATTGGGGTTTAAAGATAGATAGAGGGGAGGATGCAGAGGTAGATAAAGGGAATGAGGCAGGGAGTTCCAGTGATCATGGTTATAGCACCCTTCACATAGGATAACATATTGAAGTATTTCACTGGGACAGTGAAATTAGCAGATTTCCTAACTTTCAACAACTTTATTGCAGATCTCACCTGATCTTTGGCAAAAGTTGGGTCCCACTAGGTGCCTAAAGGTTGTTTTAACATTTTGCCATCCAGTTTATAATTGCTCTTTACATCTTTCAACGACATCAGATTCAACTGCGGGGAGCTTTTATTTCACTTGACTGTGCAGCACAAAATTAATTCTTTACTGTCGCTTTGATCTTCTGGATGATGACATTTGTCTTTAGTGTATTCGAGTTTTTTGGCATTGATTATTAATTTAGATGTAACTGACGTTTTGTGCTGTATCTTCTGCATCATCTCATTGTACCTTGGCTTTGGTTCGGATGGGCAGTTAGATGTGTTTTTATGAGATATCGTTATTCATTAAGATCTAAAAGCCTGTCCAAGGTCTCATGGATATTTTTACCCTCTTGATTCCAATAACTTCTTCAGCAGAGTTTCTCAGACTTGGCCGTCAGCTCAACTCTGTCATACTGCAACCACAGGAAATTTATTCCTACTGCTATCTGTACAACTGCTGGGTTTTAGAATATTTCCAGGTGAAGTCCATCTTCCTCACAGAACTGAAGCATAGATAGTGTTTACTCAGTAAAGGTTTGTGGTCACGACTACTGTCCAATCTGCAGTGCTCATTGACAATGGTATATACTGCGTGGCATACTAGCATACTGCGCACAGTCAAATTATTAGATTCATAATTTTTCGTGCTGAAGACGTGAATAGGAAAGCACTATTCTCCTTTGTGGGTTCATTTTAGAGCTGAACTGGCCCCAACAGAATGTTGGAATCGAGCTCGTCCTCTATGACAGTCTCAGTAGTCCAGTTCCTGAGCCAGGCAGGTCTGCAGTATTCCAGGGCACTGCTTGTAGCAGCACAGCCAGCCTGGCTCATCAGCAGGACTTGGAAGGTCAGACCAGTCACTGCGAGTAAGGAATCCTCCCATTCAGCTCCTGTTAACCCTGTAAGCCCTAATGGATAGGGTGGTCCTAGCTGGACAAGCTGAGGAAAAGCTGAGGAAAAGCTTGCCAGATAGTGTTATATATGGCAAGCTATGCGGTTTTAGCTGATTATACTCCAGCAGTACCCCCAACACACACTCTGGGGTCCCAAGCCTTGGCTCCTGCCAACCTGCACCAAATATTTTTTGGAATTAGGATGGATGTGTCCCTCCAGGGAGAAAATTACTAAAATTATTAAAATTAGAAAAGTTTCCCGGGATCCATTACTGTAAAGCACTCTAAGAAGCGGTCCAGCGTAGAGGGCGCTATATAAATCCAAGTTGTTGTTGTTGAAAATGCGCATTCCAACAGTCTCTCTCTGGAATTTTCACATGGCAACGGGATGCATGGAATTCTCAGCTTGGTTTGGATACTCTTCAGCATGGTGACGGGTTTCTGCATGTGTCAGACACTCGGCTGACAAAAAACATGGGAATTTTTCTTGTACTGTCGTCATCCAAGTTGCCATGAACATAGTTTCCCAAGATCTGGTTTCCAGATGAAAAAATTGTAAACCAACATCATTGCTGACAGTGATATCCAATATAGAACCATAGAAATGTACAGTGCAGAAGGAGGCAATTTGGCCAATATGTTTGTGCCAATTCTCTGAAAGAGTTATCCTTTTATTTCCCTTCTCCTGCCTTTTCCCATATCCTTTTGCATTTCTCCTTTTCAAATATTTATCTAATTCAATCTTAAAATGTAATATTTTAGCTTCCAGGTAGGGTGTGACTAAAAAAGATAGGAAATGACTGAATATTAATACAGATTTCAATATAGTTGGTTCATAATAAATGCAACTGATTCCTTAGATATATTCTTAATGGAAAACAATGCAGATTGTATTTTGTAAAAACAATACTGTTATTTCTAGCATCACTTTATCATAACGTTATTATACTAAGAAGCTAAATTCTGTTTGTAACGATTATGAGTACTGTATAATGACAATATATGCAATCACACATCATGATTTCATTCTATAAATACACAAAGGAGACTGTAAAAAGATATCTGGGCAATAATGTACAAGGTCTCACTGCACCACAGAGAGATTTTATTACTAGTGTGCACTACAACAACAACAACAACAACAACAAGATTCCATTTATAGAGCGCCTTTCACCTCGGGAGGACGTCCCAAGGCGCTACTTTATGAGATATTGTGGAATAACACCTTCAACATAAATTATTTATTTTGGAATGATTAAAACAATGGTACTACAAGGTAGATTTTGTGGTATTTCATAACTTTATTTCTGTATTAAGAAATCCGAATGGTGAAGTGTGTTATTCACCAGAAGCTCAAGGAAACCCCTCTCTGAATGTAGATTGATTTTAAGCAGCAGTCAGTATCACAGACAGAATGTCTTCAATAAGAAACGCCATTAAGAAACGTTGCAAAATTATCGACCCATCATTTTCCGATGCTCTGTAGACTGGATAAACAAATCTTTTAAACAATTCTGTAACTTACCAATCAGAGGGTAGGGGGCATCCTCTTTGCCAGAGTTGACCCAAAGCTGATAATCTTTAGTGCTGCCCTATATGGTAAGAGCCAAGTAAAATATAATCAGTACAGCAGAGATACTAAGAATGAAGGTGAACTGTAGATGGGGGAAATAGCAAGCAGTCTATATCTACAATGAGTTGGAAAAAATAGAAACAGCTTTAAAGAGCTGACCAAGACCAGACTGCACTTAGTAACCAGTAGAGAGAACAAAGCATTCCGAACTTAACCCTCTGTGGCAGTCTCAGATATCTGGCCTGTGTGGTTCATCCATCCTGTATATTAGTTAATAATTCTACTTGCTTTGCTTACTATTTGTTTTAAAATATGAATAATGGATGCCCACTATCCCAAGGTTTTGACATTCTTTCCCATGGTAATTATGCACCATGTGCAAACCATGCATCAAATACCATTTTCTAAGCTTGGACTTGATTATATGCAGAATATAATACAGGTACCCTTAATTTAAGTAATAACCAATCCTTTTCATTGTGTATAGAGTGATACGACATGGAAACAGGCCATTCAGACCAACTTGTCTGTGCCCAACGAGCCTCCACCCCTCCTAATCCCCCCATTCCTTTCTCCCTCATGTGTGCATCATGTTTTTTTCTTAAATATATTAATGCTATTTGCTTCAACCACAGCTTCCAGCAGAGAATACCACATCCTCACCACCCACAGTTTTGCTTGTTACAAAATTAAGGGTGCCTGTGATTTCCTCTGTACACATACATTTATACTTGGGTTGCAACTGGCATATAATATATCCAAAGGCAGACACAATATATCTTGTTGTTTTTGGATCCATAATTTTTTTGCTTAAGTCAGCTCCCACTACAAGAGCGCTCATATTTGATGTGCAACAGAGCAGCAGATATCATAGGATGATAACCTGTGTTTAAAGCTCTTTTTAATAATATATTTAACTCTGAATCTTGGATGACATTCTCACAAATTTACAACCCCTGAAATCTTTCTCAACTCAAAAGTATTTGACCGTCCAAAGACCGTCCATAAAAACGGATGAGAATAGGTTTTGATTTACTCTCCTTGGTTAATGAAGGTTTTGAATTATAGAGCCACCAGTTATATATTTATCATATTTAGTCATGATTCATTTCTAATAATAAAACCCTGATGTGAGTTTGGAGGACTCTTTACGGACTTGGACAGCTCTGAAGATTGGGGTAACTATAAATAGACCGAAGAATTAATTAAGTAACAACGCGGAAAAAACACAGTTATGAACCAACTTACTGTGATTGCAAACTGCTGAAGTGCCATGGCAACAACATCATTCGCAGTGTCTGTGTTGTTCACAGTTAGAACTTTTGACTGAAAGAGATAAGAAGGGGGGAAATCGTATTATCGGAGGGTAATTAAAATCTATAGATGCCTCCATAAAAAGACCTTGGCAGGGAACTCAGACTGTTTTATGTCCAAAGTCAAACTTGTAAGGGCAGCGGGTTCTGAATATGAACTTAGGCTTGTTGCTACAGATAAGCTTTTTTGACCTTGCTGTTGTAGTTCAGATCTGGAGTTAATTTTTTTTTGTTGACTCTTTTGGCTAGTTTCAGCCATGTTGTAAATATCTAGTATGAAATTAGTTACATTAGTCAGGGTTTTGCTGTGACAACAACGACTTGTATAGCACCCCTCATGGAGGGGGTAGCGTCCCAGAGCGCTTCACAGTGGCAGAGCATAACGCTGGGCAGGCTGTAAGCACGGTCGAAGAGGCGCGGCCTTAAGATGGGGAAAGAGGGGCCAAGGCAGAGGAACAGAGGGAGAAGAGCTTCGGGTGTAGTGGCTGAAAGTGCGGCCACTGATGGTGGAACGAGGGACAAGCAGAAGGCTGGAGCCGCCACGTGTGAATAGACTGGAAACACTGTCAAAACTCACAAATGAATAATGACACTGGAAGCTGCCTGTCACATGTGGGACACAGTGCTCACGGTAGGAAAAAGCGGTCAAATGTTTCTACTTTTGACTATAGGGAAGATGTTATTTTCCTAAATCCTTTTATAACATGTTCATTCAGTGATTTCTCATCAATTCTGTGAAGAAAACAGCACTAACCACAAAAGCTGGCAGAAAGGATCTTTTTTTAAAAAAAAATCAAGTCAACTTTCAAACCTGGCACATCCTTTGAATAAATCAGTTTGGAATAACACGCATTCCTAAATACATCAAAGGAGATTTTACCAATATTGTACATTTATGTGAAAGCAGCTCACAGAGCACAAAGCTGGTCATTTCAGTGACCACACAACAATAACAACAACAACAACATTACTGGGCCCAAAGGGAGAATAAATCCAGAAATTAAAGAGGATAATCTGGCGTTATGATTTCTCTTCCACAGATTGTAGGAAGCTTGTATATTTTAAGTCCTATAAGTGTTTCGGTCAATTTTATATTAAAAAAACCCAGATCTACTAATAATTTATTTTGTTCCCATCTCACTTCCCTGTACAGTGTAGGGCAGGGAGGGGAGGGGTAGGAAGGTGGCCGAAGGTGCGGTCGAGGAGGAAGGTCTTGAGACATGCCTTGAAGGAGGCAAGGGAGGGAGCGAAGGGAAGGGACTGTGGGATGGAATTCCAAAGGTGGGGGCAGAGGGGCTCTAGGTACAAAGGCTCACACCACCGTCATGTTCTTTCTCTGTCTTTCACCTTATGCTCTGGGCAAGAACAAGTACACTGTGACTTTGTGCTTAATGACAGGGAAATTTCTTGGGGGTTCAGTGTAATGTGCTAACTCCAGCTGTTAAGTGAAAGAGGGCACATTCAATAGCTAACAATTGAAGTGCAATACTTTCATATGTATTTTCTGCACAGGGTCCAAGACTAGGTGAGCAGGAGTGAGTTTAGGTGAAAGTGCGGCTTTTGCTTCCCTGATCGATGCAATGAAGCTGACGAAAACTAGCTTGGAGGGATTGTGATTGTTGGTTCACAGTGACAGCAGAAAGAAACCTAAAGGTACATTATCATCAGACCCACAGGTCTGAAATCTGGCAGCCGCAGACTTCCTCAAACCTCCCACTGAAAGGAACCTAGGGAACTGTGCTGCAGAAACGGCACAGTTACCAGAATGAGTCCTTTTAATTTTAGTTGAGAACTGGGAAACTTCACTCATTACGGTTTCTTTTTAAAGCTTGCAAAATGTGTCACAAGATATTTTACTAGACAACAATGTCCCTTTAATTATCATTGTGCCAAGTTCTGATGCTGTTATGGAGCTGGATTTTCATTTGTGTCAGGCTATATTGGGGTGGGAGGGGGGAAGGGGGAGTCCAAGCAATGGGTTAAAAGAAAACGTGAACCAAAGTTTCACTGCTGCTGAATCCTGGCAGCTGAGCCATGCAATAGCGATCACCACTATTCAGCTTGTCTGTCTGATGCTGCTCGGATAAGATAGAATTAGTGAAGCACTCAGAACACTGGATGTTTGAGCTTTTATTGATTACCCTCCAGAGCAAAGAAGCAGGATGTGTTCCTCTCACGGCTTAATAGGTTTTGCATTACAGACAATTCAATAACTAATTAAAGGAACAGTTTTTTTTAAATTGTTTACTTGTGGTCGAGCCCTCGGGCTGCATCGCACATGCAGAGGCTCAATAGGACAGTATGTCTAGCTGTGGCCTATATAGGGAACACTTAGGAGTTCCGAAATATACGACTACCACATTTGTCACACATATAATTATCAGTGGTCCTCAAGGATTCAAACACCTCAACCATTTAATTGTGTCTGTAAGTTGAGACCAGTTAATAATAGCAGACAATTGAGAAATGCAAATTGATAGGCTGTTAAATTGGTGAATCTGATACTACACTTGAGGCTCCTCAGTTAGTTCCTGAACACGCTTCCCTGGTTGTCTGCAAGGTGTATATTTATGTTGACATAAGGAAACAGTTGTCCTCACACTGTTTGCTGTATTGTTTCATTGCCAGGTGCTATCAAGATAAAAGGGCATTTTGTATCAAATGTAGGAAAGGCTATTGCCACCTCCAATTTATGGTCTAATCTCCAATATTTTGCAACGTGGGTATTTGTGATTTTTAAATTCTGGCAAAGTATGAAAATAGTTCTCTGAGCTACATCCCATCTCCTCACAGCTGTTTGTTCTCATCCCCAGCCATATTTAATCGGTCTTGCGCTTACCTGCCCATACCCTCCGTTCCTCTGGCTCCGGTCTGCTCCACATCCTCCGCCCCAACCGCCCTACCATCGGTGGCCGGGCCTTCAGCCTCTCAGCCCCTAGGCTCTGGAACTCTATCCCCCAGTGCCTTCGCCGCCTCCTCCCTTTCCTCCTTCAAGGCCGGTCTCCAGACCTTTCTCTTTGACCGTGCCTTCAGCTCCCCTCTCGACTCTCTACCCCCTCCTCGCTCCCTCCCTTCCCTCCCCTCACCCTGACCATTTCCCCCCAATGCTTGGGTCTTGACCCAACTGTACAGCGCCTTGGGACGTCCTCCCGACGTGAAAGGCGCTCTATAAATGGAATCTTGTTGTTGTTGTTTTGTAAATAGAATATTGCAAGAATGAACAAAAAACACAAGTCACAATTAGCAGTTCCCAGGTCTTTTAGGAATATTGCCTTTTGGACTGAATGTTCAGGGCCTAGAAATAGTTACTCGTCGTTTTAAACTGATAGGCTTAGACATGATTTTAGACTATTTTCTTATCAAGAAAGTCTTTGAAATCTCTCTTTTTACTCTCTTAGCCACAATCTTGAATTCATGCTCAATTCTCCTTGCATCCCCACCAGGGGAAAACGATTTTCACGATTAACTGATACTTACATGTGCACAACTTCCAACATTTCTGGTAATGATCTTTAACGGAGTGCTTTTGAATTGCTGCTTTTCTTTCTCTTGTTTAATGAATCTGAAAAATCAGGAGAAAAACGATGAGTAACTATTATCATTATTACATCTCCTGATTTTCACCCCAACATAAATTATTTTTTCAGCCATCTCACTGACATAAAAAGCTTCAGGGGAATGATAATCACCAAAAACCCTTGATATGTAAACCGTGCACCTTCTAAACTCAGTACAATCTGGGATCCAAATATCTTAAATTTCCTCTGCTTTCCTGCTACTTCAGTACACAAGAAATCCACTCACAAAATACATTTATTAATTTTTACATTTGAAAAAAAAAAGCAATCACTAACCGTGAAAGTGGAGTATGTATTAAAAACCAAATAGGAATACTCTGCACAGTATATATATATATTTAAAACAATGCTTCCTTTCTCTCAAAGCTCCTCTTTCCAGTAGGCAATCCATTTATGACATTCAGAGCCACCACTTACTAGAGCAATATCAATGTCGTTGATTTCCCCGCCCAATCCCCCACCTCACTCTCTCTCATACACAAAGGCTCCCAGTTGTAGCCAAGATCCGAGGAATAATAACAATCCTTGCATTTAATACAGCGTCTTTCACATCGGGAGGACGGCTCAAAGTACTTCACGGAATTTATTGTAACGTGCAGTGACTGTGTATTTTGTAGGTGAACACAGCAGCCAATTTGTGCACAATGTCTCACAAACACAGCTTGAAACAAATCACAAGTTTTCCTGGAAACGGTTGGACTGTGATGTGGTCCATAGTTTGTGAAATCGAAAGATAATTAATCCATTTATATTGGCACACCACACACCAAACAAACAAACTGCAGCCATTACCTTTGCAGGAATGAAAGCCATTTTTCTTTCTGTTCTGTCGTACTGTAACAACAGAAGTAAAATCAGATCAATAAGATGCACAGAAAGTGAGTAATACACAAGTAATAAATCAGAGAAAGTTTATTGCACAAACAGCCCATCACATCTGTGCTGGTGCTAGCTTTCCCCCAGATGTATCTACTCTAATCCCACCCCTTCCTCTTTCCCCATGATCAGCAGGAATCGTTTATCGTTATTTGTTATTTATCCTACCAAATACATTCATAATTATGAAAGCTCTATTAGATACTTGTTAACTCTCTCTGATCATGTTTTCTGGATTCCCCACATAACTAAAACCTCTCATTCCTGGCACTGTCGGACTGAGGAAGAGGAGACTGTACACAGTCTGAAGGAGCACACTAGAGACACACCGAGAGTCAATGTTAAATGCTCTGAGAGAATTGACTCTTATGAAAACCTTATTAAACATAGTTGACAAAGAAGTTTATGCGTTTCAGCTGTTTTCCCACTAGAAATATTTGGGATTAATTACACTTAGCTAAACAGACACTTGGCAGTGTGATGTAGCGCAAAGGGTTGGTTTATACTGGTTTATAACACCGTAGGATGCAATTAGATGTGATATAAATCACTCCTTTGAACAAATGTGTGTCCTGTATTGCTGTCTATTCATTGAATTATGGTTCCTCATTGACCTGCAAATTTTCCTCTTTTTTAACTAAAAAACCATTTATTTCCCAGCATTGCTTGATGTATACAACCTGCTTAGTTGTTTAAAGTTGTCCTAAACTGGGGTCTAAAATCTTACATTCACAAATAACAACAACAACAGGGTTGTATAAAGCTCCATTTATGTAGAACAGGGTCTTGGTGTTCCTCAGTGATGGAGTTGATCACCAAACAAGGGGAGGTGGACACAGGATTGGATTTGACCAAATTGGATTGCAAGTAACTCAACTAATGCGGTTTGCAAATATCACATTTTAGATCCCATTATAAGAGCAGGAATTTGAAGCTGGTTGATGGACATAAAGGTGTATATCCTTTTGATTATTTTCACATAATCCTATGGGGGGGGGGGTGGAGGAAAGTTGGGTTAAGTTAACTCCATAGTCTCTTAATGAAAGTGGACATGAATTCTGTATGTGTAGTGAATTAGGTAATTGATATCTGAGCCAGGCAGTTCACAGTATTCCAGCAAGGGGAATGATGATTGACTCCTCATCAATGAGATGTAGAAGGGAAGAAACATCATTGGGAGATGGGAATTGTTCCCATTTGGCTCTTGTAAACCCTGCAAGCCAGAGTCTGGCAGAGTGGTCCGAGCAGCACAAGCAGCTAAAAGCATACCAGTGCCATGTTCTAATTGGTGTGCAATTTTAGCTCATTCAATTCCAGTCCAACAGTACCACCGATATACACACTTTGAGGGTCCTTAATACCTCAACATCTAACAACCTGCGCTGTGTTCTCTAGGTACAGATTAAGCAAAAGCAGGCATTGTTTTCTCTTTCTCCCATGGGAGAGATTGTGTACAGTTGAACTCACAAACAAAACTTAACTGTGAGCACTAAGTGGCTGGAATTGGAGGCTCTTAAGCATGACGTGTGTTAAACTCCCAGCTGACAAATAAAAAACAATGCTGTTGATTTACACCGCTATAAAGCCAATGAATGTAAGTACTGAACAGCGTGTAGGATAAAATTGTGACTGGAGCGAGAGGCACTGAGACATGTTCAATAAAGTGAAGAGGCTATCATTCAGCTGACCGTCCATTTCTATGACCCCACCAGCTTGATGCCAATGTAGAATCATGGAGCTATATCAGTACCTGAAAGTAGCCACGCAGTTTGTTGTGGGCCAGCCCATAACAAAGGACCTATCCGGGCTTGTGCTTCCCTCACAGACTTCCTCCAAACAGGACGCTGTCCACATCTCACAGATCTGTGCACGGTTCTTCAGCTTGAAATGAGATGCAGATCTGTAGAAAAATACAAATAGGTGAATAGGAAGGTGACATTGGGTTTTTGGGAAGGATGAGATCAAACGGGCTAAAGATCCTTCGTTATACAAACTCGTCGTGTGATCTTTGAAGGTCTTTTAATACCATTTCCCCATCTTTCCCACATACCCCTTGGTATCTCCCAAGTGTCTAGTTCATTTTTAAGCATACCATTACTAGGCTGACACATAAAAAATAGAGTGGGGGAACTGGAGGGTTATGTTTCCATAATGCAACACACGTCAGTGTCTTCAGGAGAGGAGGGAAAAAGAGGGCGAAAACTACAATATTATTGTGAATGAGTTACACTGTTTATTAGGAGCTGTGCAAAAGCAAATTTTCCATTACTTTTAATACAAACAGATGGCTAAAACTCAGCTGTGAGTTGGTGTTTAATAATGATTTACTGCTTTGACTTTTCAAAATAGAAGTAAATCGTCAATGCATTTTTCTGTCAAAAAAGCTTATATCTGCTTGTCTTGAGAATGATTTGTTACATTGGCTCAGTGTGTATGTGGGAGAGTGTTGATGCATTGTGCACAGTTTCCACTAAACTTTCCATTTAGTAAGAAGGTAACATAGCCAGAGGAAGGTTTGGATGAACGGCAGTAAACTAAAGCGGAAGAACTGTAGCCAGATCAGAGGATAGTCAATAGCTAGAATGGGCTAATTAGAAAGGTGATTGATCACAAGAGGCATGGCCTCATTTAAGAAGTAGTTTGGTGCTGTAATGGGAAGACATATATTATATATATATTCTATGCAATCTCAGTGTCACCTTGTGTTAATGGATCCAGATAATTATTTACAAACAACAAATTTACACTTATGTAGCTTCTTTCACGTCAGGAGAATATCCCACCTGAGCTGGGGGAGGGTGAGCCGAGGGGAATGGGAGGGGGGGTGCAGTGTGAGATAGTTAACCGAAGGTGTGGTCAAAGAGGAAAGTTTTGAAGGAGGCAAGGTAAGTGATGAGTCGTAGGGACTCCAGGATGGAGTTCCATAGAGTGGGGGCTGAGAGGCTGAAAGCCTGACTGCTGATGGTGGGACAGGTAAGGCAGGGGACGAGAAGCTGATTTATTTCCGGATCATCATTTATTATTGACAGAGTTATTAATTTAGGTCTCGTCTGCCTGGTGATGCAAGTGATCATTAACATTTGTAAGATGTGGCTGTCATTTGTTTACATATCGTTCATTAATGACATTTTATGAAGCGCTTTGAGATGTTATGTCCCAGGAGTAGTGGCTCCTGGGGCATATTGGACTGAACTGAATATATATTGGACAATCCATCTAGTTTCTAGGCTTATTTTTAGTTGTCTATTTTATCACCTTTTATCGCCTGCTGTCAATAATAATCCTTGAATTTGATATATCATGTCGTTGAGATGTCTCAAAGAGCTTCACAGAATATACTGTAAAGTGAATTGACTGTATATATTGTGGGCGAAATGTGGCCAATTGCGCACAGCGGTGTCCCACAAACAGTTGTGACCAAATTAGTATTCAAGCATTCTCCTCAAGGGAGGAGGTTGGGATGGTGCCTGTCATTCGATTTTCCAAATAATTTGGGATTAAGGACAGTGTGATGCTCTATTAACTAACTAACCATTAACCAACTGCAAGCAATGGCAGTTTATGCTTTGCAGGAATTGAGCGTGAACCTGAGAATTTAATGCTGGCTGGCGCAGTCATTTTCAGTAGAACTTTTTTTCCTTCCCTGAGATGGAATGTCCTGGTGGACACTAATTCCGACTCGAGGCTCGGCTAGAGCTGGTAGAGCTCACTGTATGTACAAAACACAAAATACTGCAGATGCTGGAATCTGAACAAAAACAGAGAGAGCTAGGAAATCTCAGCAGGTCAGGCAGCATCTATGGAGAAACGAAAGTGAGTCAAGGTTTCGGGTCCACGGGTCCAGTTCTAACAAAGGGTCGTGGACCTGAAACGTTGACCCACTTTCCTTTCTCCATAGATGCTGCCTGAGCTGCTGAGTGTTCCCAGCTCTCTCTGTTTTTGTTTGAGCTCACTGTATGTATTTGTGTGACAGGCAGCCCTGGGACTCAAACTCACAACTTTCCTCTATTGGTACCGAGATGCTCTGACTAACATGTTCTGTTGCTGAAATAACAACAACTTGCTGTATAGCACCCCAAATTCAGGGTATCGTTCACAGGGCTTGTAAGTGACATTTAAGTGACCTTTAAATTAGTGATATTTCACCCTCAGTTTAAGCATTTTAAAGACATGAAACAAACTCTCACTGTTGTTCAATGTAATGAAGCATTTTTCTCCAAAAAACGACCAGTGTGTGATGTAATTAATGATGACAAATATCGTACTATCTTTATTATTTATTACTTGTGACAGCTTGGCTCAATTAATGGAAGTCTCACCTTGTGGGTTATTATAATAATAATCCTTGCATTTGATATAGCGCCTCACTTCTTCGAGACGTCCCAAAGCGCTTCACAGAATATACTGTAAAGTGAATTGACTGTATATTTTGTGGGCGAAACATGACAGCCAATTGTGCACAGCAATGTCCCACAAACAGTCATGGAGTCCTGTAGCTCAGTGGGTGGAGTCCTGTAGCTCAGTGGTTAGAGCACTCGCTTTGCAAGCGAGAGACCTGAGTTCAATTCCAGGCAGAGGGCGAAACCTTGGGCAAGTTTCCTTACTCCACACCTAATAATAATCCCTCCAAAACCCAAAACAATAATAAATTGGTCATTTTCAATCTACGACTGTTTGTGGGACATTGCTGTGCGTAATTGGCTGCAGCGTTCGCCCACAAATATACAGTCAATTCACTTTACAGTGTGTTCTGTGAAGCGCTTTGGGATGTCCTCCCGACGTGAAAAGCCCTATATCAAATGCAAGGATTATTATTATTATGGCTTAAGTGACCAAATTATTATTTTTATTGGATTATTACCCCCAGAAATGCGATCGGCCAATCGACTAACAACCGAGTTCCTACTTACTATTAGGTAAACAGAGGCGTGTGGAGTAAGGAAACTTCCCCAATGTTTCACACTGCGTGGGAAACGAACTCAGGGAGGTGAGTACTCCAACCACTAAGCTACAGGACTCTGCTTGTATCCAGTAACAGTGTCTTGGCCTCGCAGCCCGAGTTAATATGTTGATGAAATCAACAGTTTCATTGTTTACATTTTTTGCCTCCATTTTTTGCTTCGGTCAGCTGGGTGTCTGACACAAGTGGAAACCCATCACCATGGTTTGGAGTATCCAAACCAAACTTGAGAATTCCATGCACCTCACCTACACATGGAAATTCCAGGGACAGATGGTTGGAATGGAATGCGCACTCTCTCCTCGGAGGGATGGATCCTGCTTACCTAATCCCGGAAAGTATTAGGCGCAGGTTTTTTTGTCGCTTGTTTTTTTTGCTCCAGCATTTCAGTCAAACAGGTTATTGCATGAATTGAATGCATAACAGAGAATTGCAAAAGTTATTCCATGATTGCTCGCTGAATCTCCTCTAGCGCCTTCAATAAAAAGTAAAGAAAACATCCAGACTCACACAGCAGCCTTGAGACATCTAGAGGCGCACACAAGCTGTTGTTTGCACAGGCGTCTCTGCTCTGGGCTGTTTTATTTAAAAAACATTTCTGTTTATCTAGTGGTCTGTAGCAAAATGTTGATTTTTCCTGCAGAAATGTACATTGAATTTTTTTCCTCTGGCTTTCCAGAAGGTTTGGACTCAAATATACAGCACTTTAAATTCAGATTTCTGATGCTTATAGTTATAGCAGCCACAACGCTGTGGATAAGCCTATTTGTTGTTTCTCGTAACCACTTTTGTTTCCAAATCTATTCTAATCTATTCAAACACTCCAAGAAGCTGCCCAAGTGAAGGACAATATATAATTGCAAGTTGTTGATGTTGTTGTAATGAACCAGCCAACTGTGCAAAGGCTTTGTGTTTTTTGCCCCTGGTCTATCAATTACTTTATGTTATAGTTTGGGCGATAACCAGTTGTGAAATGGAGACTTGCTCATCTCTTACTTTGATTTGGCGATGACGAAGATGTCATTGAAGAGGAAGAGATGTCGCTCTTGGGTTTGCAGCCCGGTCTTGAGCTGCGCGTGTCCTTCCATGACAAAGGCTCTGTTTGGTCCTATGATTGACTGAACGAGGGAGCAAAGCTCAGGGCTGACAGGAGACAGGCAGCTTTCTCTGCAAAACAAAACAGAGTTGAAGGTGAAAGGCATTCTTCCATTACTGCACCATTGCACAATTCAAGTTCACCAAAGCTCAATTAAAGTAAACTTGGGGCTGAAAACACACATAAATAAACCCTCTGCGTTACTGGCACTTCATGATGTAAATTGTTATTTTCAGGGAATCCTACTGTCACGGTGACTTGTAAGGCTGTGGATGCAAAGATATCGCGGTTCGTTCCGAAGTCTCACAAGTTGGCATGACGTCCACGGGATTCCCTGCAGAAAGCGCAGCTTCCACCGTGAGGCTGTATTTCTAGTACGAGGTGTGAGTAACAAGCCAGTTTACTGTTTGACTACTTTTCCAATCAGTCCCAAAGTTTTTCCACATGTTTAAACCCTGCAAACTGCAGCAAATATCTGGAATGAGTTATTCCTGGTTGTCCAAGGTGCAGAACCTAACCAAACACCTCATAACATAGTGATACTGGTCCTTCAAAGCCTTCAAACAGTTATATTTTTGTGTTCCAAGTCCTTAATCCTTTTCAGCGCCTTGGGACATCCTCCTGACGTGAAAGGCGCTCAAAAAATGTAATTTTGTTGTTGTTAATCGGGACAGAGAATCCTTTCCCACCATTATAGGACATAAGCTGCCTTGAAACCTGCCAGTGTTGAATAACAATCCCACTGTGTGCAAAATCAGGAGAAGGATCTCTTCCTGTTCTTGGGGATTTAGTTTTACTTGGCTATAACAATAACTTACATTTATATAGCAGCTTCACATGATCTTTAAATCCTTTATTGTTCACTCCCTACTCCCTGTGCTCCACTATGAGTGGCAAAACCTTCAGCCATCGTGCTTATGTTTCCTTCAACTCTCTTCTATTTGGTCTTATAACCTCTTTTCCTGCCCTCAAAAACCTTCTAAAAATATATTCCTTCAACTGTGACTTTGAGTTAATATCCTTAAATGACCCTTTAAATTCACTTCATAATAATAATAATAAACCTATTTATTAGCTCAAAGCACTTCATAGAATAGACTGTAAAGTGGATCGACTGTGTAATGTTGTGGGCTAAACGCTGCAGCCAATCATGCACAGCAGTGTCCCACAGTCGTGGATTGAGTGACCAAATGTTTTTTTGGACAGATTATTAGTGGATTGCTTTCTGGGGAAAGCGATCTGCCAATCAACTAACAACCGGGTTCTTACTTACTGCTAGGTAAACAGAGGCATGTGCAGTAAGGAAACTTGCCTAAGATTTCCCCCTGCCCGGGAATCAAACCAACGTAAAAGACTCTACATTAAACCTGAGGATTTACCTGCTTGGTGCTCACCGCATTTCTCAAACACTGAGAATCTTGTTTGAAGTGAATTAAAAGGAGCTACGCAAACATAAATCATTGTGATTATTATTTGTAAGATTCACAACGGGGACTGGTCTATTTACAACAACAACAACTTGCAATCACATAGAGCCCATCACCCAGAGCACTGAAATGTATAAAGCTTATGAAATTAATTCTGCTCTTCCAGAGACAGAAGCTTCCGAGAAACATTTGGTTTCACTGTTCTTGAGTATTTTTAAATATATATATTATATAGATATATATAAAATATATCCAAACGGTATTTGTGAGTGAACATTTCTTAGAACTGGAATGTCTGCCAAGTGAATAGCGAAATCTCCAGTTGGCAGCGGGACAGTTTTTTACCCTGTCTGTCAGCACAAGGTGGTTTTCTTGCACGCATTTTGGGTCAGCTGAAGAATTCCAATTCAAATCAGCCAAGTCAAGGAACCGAACTCAAGCTGCAGTAATGAATATTCCACAAACACCCTTGAACCTCCTGACCCTTGCCAGTTATTAACTTTGCACGGGAGATGTGGTGGGGAGAGGAGAGAGAGAGAGAGAGAGAGAGAGAGAGTAGGGGCAGATGGGGAAAGAAAAGGGAGGGGAAGGAGGGAGACTTCAAAGAACCCAGAAGACACAGGTATGGTGGCTGAGACTTTGCCACTCTCCATAGAAGAAAGCATCAAAGATAATAATAATCCTTGCATTTGACAGAGTGCCTTACTACGTCGTTGAGACATCTTAAACCGCTTGACAAAATATACTGTAAAGTGACTTGACTATATTTTGTGGGAAAGATAGAACGGAGCAAGCAATAAAGGATTTAAAGATTGTGTGAAGGTGCTAAATGAACGTAAGCTGTTCAACAATATACAAACAACAAGTAGAGGACCAATGAAAGCTGGTAATAGGGAGGGAAGGGAAGGTAAAATGTTTGTAAAAGCAATCCATTGTTATTTCATATGAAGTATTTAAGATGACTTTGTACCTGATTGGTCATCCAACTCTGATCAAGTTGTGAAAACTTTCCCAAACTGTGAAGCTACGCTTTGTTGCTCAGTTGGGAAATTGATACAATTAATATTAAGTGAGTTAATTCTGTACTCCCGTATAGCACCATGTTGTTAGGTCATTTGTCTCATTGCACATTAAAAGCTTTCTTTTTCAATTCTCGTTACTGGAGATGGCGCTATTGATGGGCTAGTGTAGGCTGACTGCGTCTCAATCCACCCATTGACAGTACTACAGGAGTTTATGCTACTCTGAAGGAATAAAAGACAGGGAAATCTTCTATGATGTAGTGCTACAGATATCACTCTGTTTTAAGTTTCCTTACTCCACACGCCTCTATTTACCTAGCAGTAAATCGGAACCCGGTTGTTAGTCGATTGATGGATCGCTTTTCTGGTTGAAATAATCCCTCTAAAAAAAATAATAATAATTTGGTCACTCAATCCATGACTATTTGTGGGACACTGTCGTGTGCAATTTACTGCATCACCCACAAAATACACAGCCAATCCACTTTACATTATATTCTGTGAATTGCTTTGAGACGTCTCAATGACGCAATAAGGCGCTATATCAAATGCGAGGATTATTATCATCTATAAAATGTCCTCTGGACTAAACATTCACATTCGTGACAAGTTGAAACACTTGAGCATTGAACTAGGAACAAATACATTGCTCACAGGATTCCTGCACCAGTCTGCAGCATTTGCACACAAATAACTCAAAAAAACCCTATTGTTTTGGCCCTAGCCAAAACAAAAGGAAAGAGATTTGCACCAGTCAACAATCCAAAAAACATATGCAACTCAAATTCACATGTGCTAGGTTCAGGCAAACATTGATAAGGAACTTGTTTGCTTAATCTGGTAGAATTCTGTACTTGATACAAATGTCGGGTAGTGAGATCCAGTTAATAATCCTTGCACTGGGTGATATTTCCCAATGGGATTCCTTGATAAGATGAACTGTCAGGATTCCCGCCAAACTGTTGAAACTCTGTTCCAGAGATAGACTGACAGAGAGCAGAGACCCTCTCAGTTCTGTGGGACTTGCAGCCAACAACAACATCAACAATACTGTTTGGATAAAGTCTCAGAGCACCTCACAGTAAGTCAACAGAAGAGAAGGGGCGGGATCATAGCTGCTCTCAAAGAGGTAGATTTTAAAGCATAATGTAAATAACATTCCAGTTATTGAAAGGAGCCCCCATTGTATGTCAGCCTGACTTAGTTGTTAGAGCTCTCGCCTCTGAGTCAGACGGTTGTGGATTCAAGCTCCATGTTGGGACTTGGAATTCACACAGTCTAAGCTAGTTCAATGGGGTGCGGGGGTACTCTGCATTGTTAGAAGTGCCATCCTTTGGATGATACTTTAAACTCGGGCCCCATCTGCCTGTTCAGGTGGATATTAAAGATTCTATGGCACTATTCAAAAAGAGATGGGAGTTTCTCCAGGTGTCCTGGACAACAATCTCCCTAAATAAAATTGACCACGCATTCCATGGTTGTTTGTGGGCCTCTGCTCTGCACAAAATTGGCTCCCACTTTCTCCCACAAAACAGATAGTCACTGCACTTTACAGTATATTCTGTGAAGCGCTTTGGAACATCTGCATGATGTGAAAGTCACTATAACAAATGTAATGATTATTATAACAGTATTATTATTATTATTTGTTTAACTCAGATTCCTTATTAAGGAATATTACAGTTTAGACATCATTGTGTTAATTTCTTGGTTCCTATTTGCTGTACATATAACTGTTCAAGGGTATTTTGTGTAATTCATATTGCATTTGTATTGACAATGATTATTATGATTTTCCTCAAAGCATTTCCTTTTCAATCACAAGAAAGATACCATCAGAGGACATTAAAAATGAATACCGTTTTTGTCGACATATAAATCGTGCATTTTTGAGCCCAAACAAATATTGCTTTTTCGATTGACTTACAATTATACAGCCTGATTAACTCATCAAATAAACTATGGGAAATATGCAAATAAAAAAAATTCTGAAAGGAGTACATTCATCTTTACTTTCCCACAAGAAGTATTCAGTTCACCAACACAGCACAGAGAAATATTTCAGGGTCCCACTAGGAGTGTCCATCCAGGGAGTCAAAGAGCTGCAACGATTTTTTATGAACCTGGACTTTGTAGATAAGTGCATGCAGTTCACTGGAGGGGGTGGTGGGAGGGACGAAACCCAGCTCTACACAGACAAAGTCTACCGCAAAATGAATATCAGGCATTTATGATGGCGGTAGAGGAAATCTATAATATTACTAATTACCTGTGGCAGTTCTATAAAAAGATGTCATTTACGGCTATTTTGAAAGCAGCTGTGAAACGTACTGAATAAGAAGCGCTCGGTAAAATGGAATGCGCTGACGTCATTGGCAGAGTCAGAGTAACTCACACCTGCCTCAAAGTATGTGTTTCTGATTGATTTTGTGTGTGTGTGTGGGGGGGGTGGGGTGGGGGGGCAGCCTGTCTCAGTTAGTAGCACACTCATCTGTGTCAGAAGGTTGTGAGTCTGAGATCCACAGAGACTTTAAACTCATCTAATCTCATTTGACACACTAATGAAGGCTGGTGGTGTGCTGGATTATCAGACGCTAAAACCATCTGCCTGCGCAGGTGGACATTAAAGATCCCACGGCATTATTCGAAATGAGAAGGGAGTTTCTCCCCGTGTCCTGGCCCAAAATAAAATTGATCATTCACTTTGTGGGACACTGCTTTGCGCAAATTGGTTGCTGCTGTTAAAAAAATACGCAGTCACAGCCAGTACACTTCATAGCATATCCTGTGATGCCCTTTGAGATGTCCTCAAAGTGTGAAAAGGTGCTTTATCAAATATAAGGATTATTATTTAGCTAGGTAAATGCAAACATGTGGCCTTTACTCAAGAACCCATCCCAGGCTGAACCACATCCTAAATTACAGCTTAAAAATAATAATAATAATTGCATTTAATATAGCAATTTAATACAGCAATTTTACGCCTTTCACATCTTTAAGAAAGCTCAATGCACTTTGTAGTGACCTAAAGTCAACAAGGTTATTTTGAAAGAAAAGATTCCAAAGGTTTACATTTCAATCTCTGTTGTTAATGCCTTTGGGGAAAGCAAAGTGAGATGTTTACTTTTGCTCTGCACTGTCTTGACGTACACAATTGCACTTGTGTGATAAGCGGACGTGCAAGACACAACACACGTGCTGTTTACCACTCAACTGTGGTGCTGTAGATTGTGGCTTTCCATCCTACCACACTACCACGCTAACATTTTCCACAGCAACTGTGAAAAAGCAAACCAGGGAAGGCCAAAACTTTTCAAAGTGCAACACTTTCCAAATGTAGACATTTGCAAGCGCTTCACTCCAACCCCATCGTAGAAACCTCGGATTCACTCCAAGTCAACATTCCCTTGATGTTGAAAGATCCCCAAGCGCTCTTGGTGCACACTCTCCCCTAAATAGAATGTTACAAGGCAGGGAAATACTTCTTAAAACTAGAGACCACTGTCAAGAGATCTTCAGCAGTCATTTGTTTGTATATGCTAACAGGCTGCACTGTCAGCTTGCCATTGACCTCCTCGATTGACACTCAGCAGTTAAATTATGAATAATAATAACAATATTGGAGTGAAACATCTGTTGGAAGGTAACGGATCCAGTTGAAGGTTTTGCTCTTTGCCAAACCGAGTGAAGAATTTTCTCTGAACAAACATTTCAAAGGGTCTCTGCAGTCAGCCAGCATGGGGTGCAGAGCTCTCAGCATGGGCCAGGCTCACATATATAGTATCACCAACTTTAAGGAAGGGAGGGAGAAAATCTACCCACGCTAGACATTTCATCCTGTCCCTGCCAAAGCAGCCAGGAAATGCTATTCAAATTCTTACTGAAAATAACTGAAATTCCTCACAGTTCTGGGTGGGAACACATTGATTCAGAGTGTTTGGAATTTAATGGGTTTCACAAAATCCCACTTTGTTTCTGCAATAGAGAAACAGAGAGAGAGACATTTCCGTTTGCATAAGAAATTTCAGGGACGAATAACAGCCATTTGTTGTTATGTACTCTCTGGTACACAGCAATTTATTTTTTAATAACTGGTATTTCAATGGACAATTGAAAGCTATTAATAATAATAATCTTTGCATTAGATAAAGCGCCTTATCATGTCTTCGAGGCATCTCAAAGCGCTTCACAGAATATACTGCAAAGTGAATTGACTGTTTATTTATTAATATATTAATATTAATAGACATCTATGAAAAGATATTTCCATCTTTACAGTGAGATAATTATAAGTGCTCCGAGATATTACCACAAGTGAAGGTATTATATAAATGCAAGTTGGTCTGTTGTTGTACAGAGAGAAGATTTTTTTTTAAGCAATCAGTACATCTCCTCCAAGTCAATTAGAACGCTATTTTGAAAGAGAATGTTCCACGGGATTGAGGAAGATGAATGTGACATTTAATAAAAGCTATATCATGTAGCCACATGGTTTATAATTTAATCTCTGGTGTCTTGAGGAAAGGAATATAATGGAAAGAGCCTTATTTTTAGTGATCGGTGTACAAAAGACTATTATGTAACAATAATAATCCTTGCATTTGATATAGCACCTTTCAGCTCAGGAGAATGTCTCAAAGTGCTTCATAGTATTGACTGTAAAGTGTAGTGGCTGTGTATATTTCTGCAGGAGCAAGCAGCAGTCAATTTGTTCACAGCAATATCCCACAAAGAGCCATGAAATGAGTGACCAATTTTATTTGGAATTTGTTGGCTGGGAGATTCCCTCTCTTTTCGAATAGTGCCATGGGATCTCAACGTACACCTGAACAGGCAGACTCTATTTTGTATTAATAGAAAACAAATACCTCTATTAGTTTTAAATCACTCTGAGTAGATTTTGTCCCTCCCTTGCTTGAGTAACAAAATCATTCTGATGGGCATTTCTGTAAATGATTGTGCCTATAATGTGGAACGCATTTACAATGTCAATGGGCTTTTCAATGTAAAATAGTTATTTTGTGAAAAACGACGTGAACTTGACCTGTTCAGAATGCTGTGAATATAACGACACTCCTGGGTAAAACCTTTGGGATGAGCCTATTCATTTCAAGGGGAAGTGATGAAGGGTAATTCTGTGAATTGGATACTGTATATGCAATCCTCAGGTTGTATAGTAGTGATCAACAACAAGAGAGAACTCCGAGCCAAGCTGTATAAGATGTTAAGAGATGAATATCTCCATGTAAACAGTATGGTGATATCATTCCAAAGGCAATTTTCAAGCCCTGAAAGTGCTGCCTAAATGTTGGAATGAGCCCAGCCAAAAATCTGGTCTCAAATGATTTTCTAGGAAATGTAGATGGAGCAAACAAACCCTGCCAGCTGTCATCAGCTTCTCAAAGCCTGCCTCCGATGCATAGTAGCAGAGAGGTTCGAAACTGTTGCCGAACAAATGTTAAGTCCTAGAGATCCAATTAAATTTAAGTTATTATGGAAATTAATTAATTAAATGAAAAGCCAGCCTGCAAAATGAGGCAATTAAATGCCAGGACGATTGAGATTGGAAATGTTCGCAGATGCCAGCTTTACCCTGAAGAATCACGTCTCCTGACCACTCATAGAGCAGTGGATGCCAAAGCCTGTGGTCCAAAGCCTCCCACCCTCTCTGTTGAAGGAGGCAGCACTGAAGGATCTAAAGGAGAATATGGGGAATAGAAGAGGACCTCTGCTTAAAGCGCCTGACTAGTCCTACGTTGATCGAAATACACAATTTAGGGAATTGGTAATGACAGATGCAATCTAGCTCAAGACTTAGTTTCTTAATCCATATTATTGAATTGGATACTGTTTGCATTCTTCAGGGGAGAAACATTGGGCAAGTTTCCTTGCTCAACACGCCTCTGTTTACCTAGTAGTAAGTAGGAACTCGGTTGTTAGTCGATTGGCAGATTGCTTTTCCGGTGGTAATAATCCCTTCAAAATAAAACTTTAAAAAAGTAATAATAATTTGGTCACTCAATCCACGATTGTTTGTGGGACGCTGCTGTGCGCAATTGGCTGCCGTGTTTTGCCCACGAAGTATACAGTCCAGTAACTTTACAGTATATTCTGTGAAGCGCTTTGAGACCAATTTTATAAGGGGGTTGTTTGCCAGGACAATGGGAGAAACTCCCCTTTCATATTTGAATCATATCATGGGGTCATTAACATCCATCGAATAGGTAGATAGACCTCAGTTTAACCTACAATCCAAAGGACACACCCCTACAATGCAGTCCTCCCCATCGCTGTATTGGAGTGTCGGCCTAGACTGTGTTCAAAATCCAGATGTGGGGCTTGAACCCACAACTTTCTGACTCAGAGTCGAGAGTGCTACTGACTAAGCCAGACTGATGTTATTATTATATTCACCCTCAAGAATAAATAAATAATAATAATTTGGTCACTCTACCCACGAATGTCTGTGGACACTGCTGTGCACAATTGGCTGCCGCGTTTCACCCACAAAATATTCACTTTACAGTGCATTCTGTGAAGCGCTTTGAGACGTCTAGAAGATGTGATAAGGAGCTATATTATATATCAAGGATTATTATTAAGAGATCATCATTTAATGTAGTGGGATCTCATTTGCATATAATGGATGGGAACTACCAATTGTGACTTCTTTTTTCCTATTTAATTGGTGGTAGTGGTTAATTGCGAATTCTGAAAGACATCAAACAGATAAAAAAAATTGCAGCATTTCCTGTGTTAAATGGATCGCTGCAAACTTCATTCCTGTCAATCAGGTGTAGCTGCTTCCGACTATTTAGGAACCCGACTATTTAGCCGACAAGCCGCTCTCATTGACTGAGCAATTGACACCAAAATAAGTTAAAGAATGAAGTTTACCGTTTCCAATAAGCTATTAAACACATTGTGAAACCATTGCAAACTATATCCAAAGCTACAAAACAAAAGGCCAGAGAGATTATTTTGCTTTCCAGACTATTTTTAATGCACCTTTTGTATCTGGGAGCACCGAGCCCCAGCTGAACAAACAGTGAGAAATAATAAGGATAATCCTGGGACTTGTCTTTCACATCGAGAGGAAGTCTCAAAGCATTTCACAGGATTTACTGTAAAGTATAGTGACTATGTATTTTGTAGACAACTATAATTTCAGGACGTACTGACTCTTTCTGGTGCCAGTCATTATGTTTCTGGCTGAGCATTGACCTCCTTCAAATGTCAGCAAAGGCGAGGTCACCTGAAATCAGTTGCATTGATGTGAACGTGTAGTTACTTGTGTATCATTGATTGCCCATCCCATAGTGTAAAACTATCAGATTCGCAACCTAGGATATTGCTGGGCTACTTATAGATCAACCTTTTTTTTAACCCCTCACCCTTCAGTGGGGGAATTGTGCAAAATGCTTGCAGGGACGAGGGAGAAATAAATCTTACCTGGATAGTGTTCTGGACTTGTTGAATGCTTTGGTAATCACCAAAGAAGGTGCTGACTGACGTCTCTGCGCCAGACTCTTCATTTTCTGTGTAGCAAAAAGAAAGACAATGAAAATTAATTCACCTGATCAGTGACTTGTCTACACATGATTTGTATCACAGCCAAAATGGAAAGCCACTAAAAATCAGAAATTATCTACATTAGCCTTTATATCAATGTCATTTTAGCAACTGAACAGGCTCATAATAACAGCATTGGTGTCCCATGGCAGTTGCGAGACTGGATAAATGAGTAGTGTTAGTTTTATGACCAAGCCAAAGGCTGTTGGTGCCTTATTATAAGATACAGTAATCCTGGGGCTTCCCAGATGGCTGTGAGTTGATCCATTAAGTAGCCAAACTATATAGATTAGAAAGGTCCCAGGTTCAATTTTCAGTGTGGATAAGTAACCCAGTCATTGAATGGGCAGGACTAAAGACTCCTACAGTTGGCATCAGTTGGCCTGGGTTATAAAGTGGAACAACAGCCAGGGATCACACTCATGGCTGCTATCTTGTGCTGCCTATTGGAGTTATGTGTGTGGATGTCAATTGAGGATGGGATCAGTTCAGTTCAGGATCAGTCTCCTATGGTCCAACGGCCTCTCCACGCTCTCACATAAATAATGACCACTTTTGCAAGCCACCAGAAGGTAATCAGCGCCCGGTGAACCTTACCCCAACAGAAGGAAAAGGTTTTCAAATGCCTTGAGGGAAGGGGGAAAAGATAAGACAGGAGGAAAGCAAGTTTGACATCAGCTTTTCACTCCTATAAATGTATCTCCTGTGGCGTACTCACTGATCACTATTAATAACCAGGTAATTCCACAATCTAGGAACATAGGAGAAGGCCATCCAACCCCTCGAGCCTGTTCCACCATTCTATTAGATCATGGATGATCTGTACCTCAATTTCTTTTGCCTGCTTTACTCTCATCGTCCCAGCTGGAGTAGGGGAGCTTGAAAAGAACAGTTAGAAAACCAAATGAAACGAGGTCTTTAAAAAACTTTAGCATGTTGAAAATAAGGTTGTGATTGCTTCTTGCTGAAATCTGACAGACAGTCATTGCAGTTCATTACAGACCCCCAAGGCCTGTTTTAGCTCTTGCTGTTAAAACACCATATGGCTGTCATGCTGAGAACAGGCCTCTACTGTGCAAAGCATTCTTTTAGACAAGTGCCAAAACATCTCAGAAATTAGAATGTCATTTGCATTTGAGGAGGTTTATTTATAGACATTTCATGCAAAGTGTGTTTTCTTTTATACCAAATGAAATGTTATGTCAAAATTGCAAAGTTGTCACTTTCTGACAAGCTGGTGCCTTGTTCGGCTATGCATGCTTAGTCTGGATGGATTTAGTCTGGTTTGTGGCAGCTCATTAAGTAACTCAGCCACCTGCTCAAAAAAGAACAATTCAATTTTAGGGGAGGACAAAGTGATGGGACTCATTGTCTGACAGCAACTATTCTGTTAGCTAAATGTGGAGCGATATCAAGAGTCCTTGGTGCAAGAGATCTATCACCTGAACACCCACTCTCCTACCTAATTACATCTAATACACCATGGACTTTTGTGTTCTGTTTGTTCAACACATCCAAGAACTGTATCCCCTGCCCCCCTGGCTGTAGTATCAGGGTATAGTCCACCTGTTACTTTTGGCTTCCAAATCTGAGGGTGGATCTGGGTCTGGATGCAGCAAACCTCACAGCATGGACTATGTACTTAGAAACTCACGGCACTGACCACCTGCTCCTCTCGCTAGAAACCTCAAAGACTGGATCACCTCCTCAGAAGCTGTACAATTCCCAGGCTAAAAAGCTCTAAAAGAAGGAACAACCATGCCCCTGGCTGAGAACACCATGACAATGAGATACCTGCTTTCTCAGACAAAGAAACTGTGGTGAGGCAGCCTGGCTTTGCAGCTGACTGACATACTAATCTGATGATCAGTAGAGGTGGTAGCACATGGTAAGTATACCCCACGATTCCTCACATGAGGAGTTACCATTGAGGAGAGTGGTCAGGCTGTGCCAAATGGAAAGCCTGAATCAAACTCCAGCCATGCTGTCACATGTCGTATGTGCTGGTTACAGAACTGCTGTGGGATTCTGCCAATTAGGGTTAGGGTCTTGGTCAGCAATGTTATATGATTTGGGAGGAAGGGGATCAAAAAAAAGAAAGAAAATAACTAAGGAAAATGCATAGTCACTCTTTACTAACTGCAAGGAGCCAAGCTTATTGCATGAGAAAATATTGGGAGGAAACTACAGATTAAACACAAATTTTTTGTAAAAAAAAATGAATTCTATAAACACTGCCTTTAACTGCATTAGCCTCTTCCAGGTAGATTTCTATGAAGTTACTAGCACCTGGATTGAGTTGAAATGTTAGCCCCAGATTGAATTTTGTTGTGGAGCTAATAGGTAAAGAGGGCTTTAGAAATTTACAATAGCTTACATTGACAGATGGTAAGGATATTGTCAGCTAAGCTTGAGGATGCCCCTTAATAGCAGTCTGTATGTCAACAACATGTGGAAGGATGCTTAGTGAATTAATCATTGAAAAAAGAACATTTTAAACTGTATCTTTTACATTGCTAGATTGAGGCAGATGTGAAAGGCTTCTTTAAGCATCCATAATTTATGCTATATTTGCATTCACAATGTTTGGTATTAATCCAAAAGAATTCACAGCAATCGTTAATTTGCCATTATGACCAGTTCTGGGTCAGGTTTTTGGCAAGGCAAACATACATATGTTGTAATAAACTTTGAGTGCTGTAAGATGTTAATCCCACATGAAAGGTGTTACATAAATGCAAGTTGTTGTTGGTGGTGATGGTACATTTGATGTATTTAGACAAATTTATAAATTGTTATGTTTAGACAAAACATACACAAAAAACTTTACTGGATTCACTGTAAAGAGTACTGACTGCATATTTGTAGGCAAACACGACAGGCAATTTGTGCACAATAATGTCCCCTAATAGCCATGAAGTGAATATCCAATTTTATCTGGTGGATTGTTGGACATTGCAAGATACTGCTTTCTCTTTTCAAGTAGTGCCATGGGATCTTTAATATACACCCAAACAGGCAGACAGAACCTTGGATTAACATCTCAACTGAAGCATGGCACTTCTGAAGATGCATCGCTCCGCCAAGGCTGCGTGAAGTGTCACCCAAGAATGTGTGAGTTTAAAGTCCTGAAGAAGGGCTTGAACCCACAACCTTCTAAGTCAGAGACGAGAGTACTACCAAGTGAGCCAGGCTGACACAAAAGTGCAAATAAAGGTCCGAAACACTGACTGTCCAGCGCCTTGGGATGTCCTCTGGATGTGAAAGGCACTATACAAATGTAATTTGTTGTTGTTGTTGCAATTGACATTGTACCCAAATCCAAGGTGAAAATGACTGCACTACTTGTGGCAATATTGATAGCCAGTATGCCAGAGTGCTGCTGTGCCAAAAGTAGATGAAAATCATGTTTACTGTGTCCAATCCCCAAGACGTCTTTGATTCCCTCGCCATTTAATCCTCACTACATTCTCATGGTTCAGTCACTAACAAACCAATTTGATTGCCAAAATAGTCATTTCCTGTCCTTGTTGTATAACTAATAATATGTGCAGGATCTGTCAGCATGGCAATATTACACATACTAATAAGTGGCTGCCAAGACTACACATAATAAATTATGTAAAGCTGCTGGAGACTGAGACTGCCTCGTATCAATGGACAAAGGCCCTTTGTGATGTGTTTCGGGTGAAAAAAGAAACAAATTTAATAACACAGAGAGGATAGTCGCTTGAAATAATTTCAATAAGTACAGCTATAATCATTCTATGTAACCATTGGAAATCCAATGTTAGAAAAACAAAGGGATACCATAGAGTAACCTTTTGATTCACGTTGCAATTCAGCTGAAGCATTGTTATAGTCGTGGGCAATTGTTTGGTACTTTGTAAGCTAATTGTTCAAATATCATGAATTTTCAGATATTTCAGATGCCCACCTACAGAAATGTCACATCATTGTAACCTTGATTTTTTTTGTGTCAGCAGATGTATAGTTTGTTACTGTCAGTTTACAACTTATCTTGGTGTGTGTGCCAGGGGCTGATGGAGGGCATTGTGTGTTTAATGCATACCTGCTGATGTCAGGAGGCCAGGAGTGGAGATCAGCATGTGCTGCCCAATATCAATCCTCACTGGACAAAAAATACAACTGCTGAACATGTGTTTGTAATGCAAGTTTTACCTAGATTCACTGCTTTAAAAATTCGTAGAACTGGGAACTTGCATCTTATGTTCTGATGTGATCTACTTCATGGCTGTTTGTGTGGCATTCCTGTGCGCAAGTTGGCTGCCACATTCAAATGTAAATATACAGTCATTACACTTTGCAGTTAAAATCCTGTGAAGAGCTTTGAGAAGTGCTGATGACATGAAAATGCATTAAATCCAATACAAAAATTATTATTATATTATTAACTGAAGTATCTCACAAATAATAAATGTCCAATACGCACAGGTACATGAGTTAAGTTTATTTAAATGTTATTTGCACTTGTCTAGGACTGCTATATTTGGATTCCTAAATATATGCAACAGTAACAGATTCTATTCATCTGAAATAATAATAATAATCCTTGCATTTGATATAGCGCCTTATCGCGTCTTGGAAACGTTACACAGCACTTCACAGAATATACTGTAAAGTGAATTTACTGTATATTTTATGGGTGAAACGTAGCAGTCAATTGTGCACAGCAGTGTCCCACAAACAGTCGTGAATTGAGTGACGACTTTTTTTGTTTAATTGTGAAGGGATTATTACCCCCGGAAAAGCGATCCGCCAATCGACTGACAACCAGGTTCCTACTTACTGCTAGGTAACCAGAGGCGTGTAGAATAAGGAAACTTGCCTAATGTTTCACCCTGCCTGAGATTTAAACCCAGATCCTCTCACTTGCAAGGCGAGTGCTCAAACCAGAACTCCATTGAAACAGATTCAACACAAACAGTTTCCAATCGAAAGATGT